ATTAGGAGCCCCAACCTGCAAATATTTATGGGTTTTATTTTATTTATTAAATTTGTATACCACCTTTTCTTCCAAGGAGCTCCAGGTGGTGTACATGGTTCTTTCTCTCCCCGTTTTGGCAAAAACTGACAGGAAGTCTTGTGGAGAACCTTAAGCCCAAGGTGTTTTTGGCTACATAAACCAACTTAGCAAAAAGCAGCACCCAGATGGTAGAGTGAAACTGCATGATAATGGGGCTTGGCTGTTGGCCATATTGCTTGTTAACCCTGTCATTGACACACCTGCAGGTTTTGTATTAAAACACCATAAGAAATGCCTGGTTTGCACTCTTATTGTATAAGAACATACTGCTGTGGGGTTGGAAAAACAAGTGTTTTCAGTGTTTGTGTAAGCGTAACCACTATGTAAATCAGTGATGGGTATAATAGGCAGTAACAGGCTGTGATGTTAAGTACAGTTACAGTGCTGTTCACTCATGCATAAATGGTTGTTTCATTTCCCTAGACCATTTCTTACCTTCATACAATGTAATTTTAAAACACTGATTGCCAATGTGGCACCTTCAGACGAAGATGCACCTCCAGAGGCCTTTCCTTGCACCCAAAGGGTTCAGTTCCCCTACTGAAATTAGGCTTAAAAGAGCATTTCATTGTAGCTAGTAAAAAAGGTTGTGGGGTGTTGGGGTCACAGTGTGTGCATGATGCCCATAACAGTTCCAGTCCTCCAAGTTGTCATGGGCCCACGAAGGCTGGCGGCCCCTGTTATATTCCTCTTGTTTACATGATATATGTAAATACAGTCTGTATTTAGAAAAAGTTCAGGATGCCTACCAAAAACACAAGCAAACAACACAACACAACCTATAAGCAGAAGGGAAATAGAATGAATAGAAATAGAATGAAATCAAGATACAAATAAATACTAAACGCTATCATCTAGTTTTTACTGCTGTTTTTTCTAAGTATTAAAGCCATAAAAAACTAAAAGCCCATCTAGCAACCAAGGCCTTCTTAAAAAGGAAGGTCTCTTATTGCAAAACACCCTCAAGGAAGGGGTGAAGAACCTTTCTGAGCACCAAATCCCACAGTCTGGGTGTGATCACTAAAAAGGCCCCCTCTGGCCACGGTCAAGAATGACTTTGGTATATATTGCTGTGTGTTGATGATCTCCTACTTGCTGCTAGGAGGTCTGAGCTGCTACGGAGGAACAGAAATGTATGTAGAAATGGTGGCCCAATTGATGCTATCAAACATGTGATTAGTTTGCCCTCATTTCCATTGTGCTTATTTGTCCTCAGTAGTTTGGAGCAAGTGAATATACAGGCATACCTCAGAGATTATTGCAAGTTCGATTCCAGACCACCGCAATAAGCGAATATTGCAGTAAAGCAAGTTACACAGGTTTTTTTGTTTCCCAGTACATATAAAAGTGATGTTTACACTATACTGTAGTCTATTAAGCCAGACCCCCTGGCTGCAGGGGTGAAAGGGGGAAACCTAGCTCCAGACCAGAAGGTGGGCGGGCTTCCTTCCTCTGGAAGCAGCCTCGTAAGGAGCAATATCTGTGAAGTGCAATAAAGTGAGGTATGCCTGTTCAAGAGTTGATATTCTGGGCTTTGTGGAAATTAGTATTTACTACGATTGGATTAATTGGAGTACAGCTTCTATAAAATTGAACTGTAGAATCATAGAATCATAGAGTTGGAATAGACCACAAGGTCCAACCCCCTGCCAAGCAGGAAACACCATCAGAGCACTCCTGACATATGGTTGTCAAGCCTCTGCTTAAAGACCTCCAAAGACGGAGACTCCACCACACTCCTTGGCAGCAAATTCCACTGTCAAACAGCTCTTACTGTCAGGAAGTTCTTCCTAATGTTTAGGTGGAATCTTCTTTCTTGTAGTTTGGATCCATTGCTCCGTGTCCGCTTCTCTGGAGCAGCAGAAAACAACCTTTCTCCCTCCTCTATATGACATCCTTTTATATATTTGAACATGGCTATCATATCACCCCTTAACCTCCTCTTCTCCAGGCTAAACATGCCCAGCTCCCTTAGCCGTTCCTCATAAGGCATCGTTTCCAGGCCTTTGATCATTTTGGTTGCCCTCCTCTGGACACGTTCCAGTTTGTCAGTGTCCTTCTTGAACTGTGGTGCCCAGAACTGGACACAGTACTCCAGGTGAGGTCTGACCAGATTGTAGATTGAATTTACAGAGAGGGCTGAAAACTTAACAAACAGTCACACTTGTTCAAAGTGCATGTGCTTTAGAGTCATTGAGCAATTGTCATTTTAGAGTGTGCAGACAACTAACTCTCCTTTTCTCCTCCTCTTAGGTGTCTTTGTATCCAGTGTTGTTCTGATTCTGTCACAAAGATCACTTTTCAAGTTTTATACGATCAGCTCCGCTCTTCTGCTAGCCGCAACATCAGTGATGGTGAACTATTACGCTTTTTTGCACATAAACTTCCACAGTGCCTCTTATACAACACCTTTTGGAGTTCAGCTCCTTCCTCATAAAGGACCTTCCTTAGGGATGGCACTCTCTGCCCTTCAGCTTGCCTTTGGAATTGGCTACGTTGCACTGTTAAATATCCAGTCCATATATTCTCAGCTAATCATACTGGATTTATTGATTCCTCTTGTAGGCTTGATCGTTGAATTGCCGTTACACACCAGGCAGATTTTAGTCTTTACCTCAGGCTTCATTTTGACAGTATACACCCTGGTCGTTTTAGTTTATAAAATTAAACGGTTCTACTACTCTTCACGGTATGTCTATCTTCTTATAAGGCACATGTATCGCATTTATGGATTACAACTGTTGCTGGAAGATACATGGAAAAGGATTCGTTTTCCATCAGTTTTGCGGGTCTTTTGGCTAACGAGGCTGGCAGCTCAAGCTGTTGTATTAACATTCTTCATCAAAATGGCAGAAACTGATCCAGGCATTAAATTTTACATGATTTCTTGGGACAGTTTTTGGGAGTTATTTTGCAGCCTTATTGTCAGCGGGTGTGATTCTACTTTAACTGTATTAGGCATGAGTGCTGTAATTTCATCTATAGCTCACTACCTGGGGCTTGGTATCCTGGCCTTTATTGGATCTACTGATGAAGACGACAAAAGGCTTGGTTTTGTGGCACCAGTTTTATTTTTTATTTTGGCCCTGCAGACTGGTTTAAGTGGGCTTAAGCCAGAAGAGAGACTAGTTCGCTTGAGTCGAAACATGTGCCTTTTGCTGACTGCAGTCCTGCATTTTATTCACGGAATGACAGACCCTGTCCTAATGTCTCTGAGTGCCTCCCATGTGTCCTCATTTCGCAGACACTTTCCTGTGCTCTTCGTCTCAGCTTGCCTCTTTGTTCTTCCAATTTTGCTCAGTTACATGCTTTGGCACCACTATGCACTAAATACATGGCTGTTTGCTGTTACGGCATTCTGCGTGGAACTCTGCCTGAAGGTTATTGTTTCTATCACTGTGTATGTACTCTTTATGATTGATGGCTACTATAATGTCCTATGGGAAAAGCTTGATGATTATGTCTACTATGTTCGATCGACGGGCAATATAATTGAGTTTATATTTGGAGTAATAATGTTTGGGAATGGTGCTTACACCATGGTGTTTGAATCAGGAAGCAAAATCCGGGCTTGTATGATGTGTCTGCATGCCTACTTCAACATCTACCTGCAGGCAAAGAATGGCTGGAAAACCTTTATCAATCGCAGGACAGCTGTTGAGAAAATCAACTCACTTCCTGAAGTCAAAGGAGAGCGATTACGTGAAATCGATGACGTGTGTGCAATCTGCTACCACGAGTTTACTACATCTGCTCGTATTACTCCATGTAACCATTACTTCCATGCACTTTGCCTTCGGAAATGGCTCTACATTCAAGACACTTGTCCAATGTGCCATCAAAAAGTTTATACTGAGGAGAAGGAGAATCTCAATATCTCAAATAACAATGGCTTTGTTGCACTCGATGAAAATGAACCTGATGAAAATCCTTTGCAAGGAGAAGATGAAGCTGCTGATATGGAAAATGAACTAAATGAAGATAATGACAGTTCTGAGAGTGAGGAGGAAGCAGAGACTGAGAATTCAAGTCAGTCTGTCACACTGCCCGAAGAACACTCAGAACAGGGAACCTGACTTGGTTTAAAATGTCATGGACTGAACACTGTGGGTGGGTGTTAATAGTGGAGTTCAACTATGGAATAAAAGCTTCACTTCATCAGTGTGTAACTAAGCACAAGAACAGTATCTCAAAATGTTGAATCTGTGAATGGGGTTGTCAATTTACTGTGATGTGCGATTGTAAATATACCTCTTAATTACTGCTGGTCTCTTTTGCGACCACCTTAAACTTTATGTACATTATTGTACATGGAATAAAGTGTTTTCGCATATTTTTTAAAACAGTTGAACAAAACACTTCTTAATTGATAAAAAAATTATAGTGTGCAAGTTGTGTCAAAAAGTTCCCGCACTTTGGTAAACTTAAGCCCATGGTTTTTGGATATATTGAAAACAAGCCAGTGTCTCCAGGAGTCACCCTTTAAACCAATTAAAATATTGGATAAGGGTTAACAGATGTCAGTTATTTAAAAATCCTATCAAAGCATCGTTTCCAACTTGACAGCAAAAATTAAAATTTTAGGTTTGCAGAACTGTTACCATTCTTGCTACTGTTTTTATGTTTATGGGAAAGGGAGAAATGTTGGGGATGAAGAAACTGTTGTTTTTGCTAAGGATTGCATTTCTCTTGGAAGATAGGTGGTCAGAGGGCCTTGTGCCATTTTCAGTTCTATAAGAATAGTAAGACTTTATATTCCATATAACAGAGTCAACTGGATAGTAAAATAAATTGAAATAAATGCTTGGCAAAAAACAACAACCAGGAAAATATTTCACGGGGTGGGGGCGAAAGCTTTCTACTTGCGTGTTTAATCAAACCTTTACAGCATGCCTGTTTCTAAATAATGGTTTCAGATCTGATGCAGAGAGGAGTCAAATCTTTATTACATGGACAGGATTACCAGTTTTTAATCATAATACATAAAATGCTTTACATATCTGGAAAGAAGATTTTAATGCTGTTGTTATATGTAGTGTTGGCCAGTTCTAGTGGATCTTCTTCACGTACTGCTGCTAGTATTTCCAGTATTTGACTAAAACAAAGCAAAAGGAAGGCACCTTAAGCAAAATCACATTGTAGTGGTTATGTTTACTGTGAACATTACTTGTTCAAGGGTGGTTAAAGTTTACATAAATAGCATTTAGGGGATTCCATTTTTTTTTAATGTCAGACAAAAACACCCAAATAACAGCATATGCAAGTTTCACATAAAGGAAAGTGTGATGCACTTATTCATCTATCTTGAAATTTATAGGGGAAGGCAGATTCCCATCTCCACAGCAATGGTGAAACAGGTTACACAAGCAGCAACATCTGCTTCCTATGTCTACACCAGTCACGTGTTGGAATGCTAGGCACATTGGTTCATGACTGGGTTAGTCATGACTGCCTTTCAATAGGTCTATGGATAACACTGCATAGAAGGAAATTTTATTGAATTCAGTAAGACTTGCTCTGTAGCAAATGTGTACAAGTCTGCAGTGTTGAGTTTATTTTATTCTAAAAGTAATGAAGGAAATGCTGCAATCTAAATGCTGAACTGTATGCAATATTGCGGACAAGTAACTCGCATCTCAGAACATAAAAAGCTGTCTTTAATCTGGTTAGACTTCGTCCACCTAGATCAGTGTTGTCTCTGTTTGACTGGCAGTAGCTCTTCAAGGTTTTGGGGCACTGCCCTTTCTTTCACCTGCTATGTGATCCTTTTTAACTGGAGGTGCCAGGGATTGAACTTTCGACATTTACATGTGCCAAGTGTATGTTCCACCAGAAAACTATAGTCCCTACCATGCTTTATCAGTAAATTGGTGGTTTTAGATTTCATGACAACAAGTTCTGAAATCTGCGTATTTTGGCATTTGAGGCCATTTTCATCTGTTTGGCATTGACCTTTCCAAAGGGTGCTTATTTCTAATGTGTGTAGTGTTCAGTACTGTTGCTACCTGCAGCTAAAAACCACCAGTAGCATCTAATAAGTTGTAGGCAAACACATTGCTATAGTAATTCATGAGGGCAAAGGGGCATTGATTTAGACAACTGAAATATATGTATTTCCCATCGCCCACTGTATTCTTTCCCCTTTGAGCCTTGCTGAGCAAGTGAGGAGTGAGAACCCCCCTTCTCAAAGTGGTACAGGTTGCATTCTTGCTCCCTGTGCTATTATCTCACAAGTATTCCTTATAGCAATGCACAGAGCTGCTTTTCCTTCAATAGGCACATAGGATGTACTTTGGTATGTACTGTATTTTTCGCTCCATAGGGCGCACCTGACCATAGGGCGCACCTAGTTTTCAGAGGGGGAAATAAAGGGAAAAAAATATGATCCCCCCCCCCAAGATCTGGGAGCAGCGGACAGGCTGCGCACATCCTGTGTACTTCTCCTAGACCTCCCTGCTTTTGTGGGAGAATTCCCCCATCTCCCGCAAAAGCCCACAGCAGCCGCGCACCCTTTAAGGAGCGCACGGCTCCTGTGGGCTTTTCTACGAGGAGGGAGAAGGGACTGATGCGGCCAGTCAGTCCCTTGTCCCCCCTTGGGGAAAAGCCCCCAAGAGCAGCACGCTATTTAAAGGGTGCACGGCTCCTGCGGGCTTTTCTACGAGGTGGGGGAATTCCCTTTAAAGAGCGCGCGGCTTTTGCGGGAGGTGGGGGAATTCCCCCATCTCCCACAAAAGACCACAGGAGCCACGCACCCATTAAGGAGTGCACGGCTCCTGCGGGCTTTTTGACCAGGACGGAGAAGGGACTGACACGGCCAGTCAGTCTCTTCTCCCTCCTCGAGGAAAAGCATCAAAGAGGTCAGGGAGCAGCGCAAAGGCGGCGCGGCGCCTTCCCACTGCCCCCCAGCTTGTGGGGCTGGCGGTGGGGGGAACCGCTGCTTTCCCCCACCGCCAGCCTCAAAACCAGGTCAGGGAGCAGCGCAGAGTCGGCGCGCCACCTTCCCGCTGTCCCGCGAGCTTGTGGGGCTGGCGGGGGGGAGGAGTGCTGTTTTCCACCACCGCCAGCCTCAAAACCAGGTTGGGGAGCAGTGCAGAGGCAGCCCCACAAGCTCGGGGGGCAGCGGGAAGGTGCCACGCCGCCTTTGCGCTGCTCCCCGACTTGGTTTTGAGGCTGGCAGTGGGAGAAAGCAGCGCGTCCCCCCACCGCCAGCCCCACAAGCTCGCGGGAGAAGCACGAGTTCCCGCTGCACTTCAAAGGCTTGAGGCTTCCCGGGACAACCTTTGTGCCTTCACCCCGCTGCCCTGCGGAGGCTTTGTGCAGCTAACCCCAAGCTAGAACAGCGAGGTGGAGCGCTCCGCAGCGCTCTGTCTCCCTGTTCTGGCTTTGGGCTTAGCCGCGCAGCCTGCATTTGCTCTATAGGACGCACACACATTTCCCCTTAATTTTTGGAGGGGAGAAAGTGCGTCCTATAGAGCGAAAAATACGGTATATCCTCTATCTGGACTGCAGTACCAGGTGATGACAGTCAACAGGGGAGAGGGCTGTTGCCCTCATGCCCTGCTAGTAACCTTCCCAAAGGCATCTGAATAGCTATTGCAGAAAACAGAATGCAGACAAGACTGGCTCTCACTTGTAACCCAGCAAAGCAAATCTTAGCTTGCTAATTACTGGAAAATCAAGAGTTCTGACCTGTGTGGGAAGCTCAGAGAGTACAGTACATCTAGACAGAATGGTTTGGGGCAACCCAGCCAGATGGGCAGAGTTGTTTATTATTATTATATTTTATTATACCTAATTATTGCTGCACCAGCTGCAGGCTCAAACTCCTCCAGCTGCTGGACAAGTTTAGAATCCAGTGGCTCTGTAGTTAGTCTTGTCCCATCCTCATTCCAGGGCCTTAAATCAATTACTGCTAACAGTAGCCTTTTAACAGCCGGTGCTGTTGACGGATGCTGCATGAATTGGCAGAGAGAAATCTCTGCTACATCCCTCTGAACCAGCTGGTTGGTGGTGGTTACAATTGCTCTGCCTGTTAGGTGTCAATCTTTATATGGCATTAAACCCCTTGGGCTCCAGCCCAGCTAAAGGTCAGTCATGATCAAGCCCCTCTGAAAGCCATGGGACATAAGTTTCTCATGACTAATTCCACTGGTTTCAGACAGACTTAGTCATAACTAAATTAAGCTGAATTGGAGCCTTGAAATATATTAAATTATATACTTACATTATATGACAAGGTTCATTTCTGTCCTTCAGGCAGTGTCCTTCTTCCCACTTTTTTTTGGTAGGGAATGTGGTTTTTACATATTTTGAACCAGCGTGGGTATTTTTCACTCCACACCAGGGAGCATCTAGTGTGATTTATGGAACAGTTTAGAATTAACATCATACTGGTGGTTGCAAAATAGCTTTCTGTAACTCATAACCACCTCAGCCATTTATTTTTGTCCATCTCCCCCAATACTTTTTTGGGGGGCACGCGATGTTTTATTCTTAACACAGTCTCTAAACCAAAGCAAAGTTGCTGTCAGATCTGTTCTTAACATGTACAAAAAATGTAAGTAGTAAAATTATTCCCAGAGATAGGGTCCTATACCAATATCCCACATAATTCCACAACAGAAAGTTGCAATTGACTTTAGTAAGCAATACTTAGGACCACAGCCTTACTCCTGTGTTAACATAATTCCAAGGGTCTTGCAAGTTTACACTGTTTAAAATGCCAAAGTCAGAATTCCTAATTTGAATGTAAGAGTTTTGTAAGGGTCTATCTACGAAGACAAATCTGCTCCTCTCAAGCCAGGATCATTTTAGCTCCCTAGGCTTAGCAGTTAGGAAGCTCGCCCCTAACCCCAAGCAATTGCTGCCAAGCACCAATGAAGTTAGTCAGGAAGGATAACTGCTATTAGGCAGGGTTTTCAGGGATATACTGACCTACTGTCAAACTCTCCATAATGCAGTTGTGTTACCAAAGTTTGATATTAATGTGCAAAGCAGATACTTTGATAATCAGGTGATTTAAGGAAGCCATACAATGAAGCCACCAAAGTTCTAGCACAAAGGTGATCAACTTGATGGGTGGTATTCATAGCCCTCCCAACTGCTGGAAGCTGCGATTTGGCAATACCACAAGAGAGTGGAGCCTATGTTCTGCCAGTTAATGGAGGTAAGTGGGCAACCATGCTCTTGGCCATTGGTGTGAATGAGAGGTAGATTTTTCCATCAGATTATGATGCAAAAATCAACAATTTGTTCCATTTGCTATGGAGGAAAATAATGTGGACTATAAGGGTATGCTCTTCCCCTTCCCCTTTGCAACCTGGATTTCATCAGGCCAAGACTGGGCCGGCCCACTCATGAGGCAAGGTGAGGCAACTGCCTCAGGCGGCAAGATCCACAGGGGCAGCAGATCCTGACGTAGATCTTTATCCCACCCCCCCATTCCTGGTGTAGATTTTCACTCGCCCCTTATTCCTTGGTTCACCTCAAGTACCAAAATGTCTTGGGCCTGTCCTTGACACAGCCCTTCTAAGGAATGAGGCAAGGCCTTTTCTGCTTAGCCTGATTCTCGCCAAGAACAATATCCTTTCTTACAACTCACTTAGGTGACAATGCATGGCATTTCTAGCATGCTCACTCCCCCTTGTGGACTGGAGGGTACACAACACCGATAGTGTGACCAAGAGAGCTGTTAAATATAGAATTTACAGGGGATTTTTCTTTCTTACTGCAATGCTAATGAATTAGGTACCGTGCTATAAAAAGACATTACTCTTTAGGTTAGGAACCTTTTTCTTTTTTCCTAAGCCACGCTGAGTAAGCATGTACCCCGTCAACACTGTTTCCGATCTGGGATATATTTGGGTAGTAATCTTAAAATGGCACACCGAGACAGAAGATTACAACCAAATATATCCCAGATCGGAAACAGTTTTGAAAGGGGCATATTGGGGGAAGTAAAATGTTAAATAGTATTAAATAAAACAACAACTTACCTGTTTCGAGCATTAATCTTTCACTGGGAATTGACCTCACTGCTTCTAAGTTAGCTTCTGTTTTCAGGGAACTGAAAATAATATGAATATGAAAATCACTATGATTTGTTGAAATTCTTTAGTCCAAATAGAAGGAAGTTCTCACAAGATTCAAGGAGCAACTTGTCTGCCCAGATCCAAGTTGCTGGGCACAATCACCCCAAAGTTGTGTCTTCAATTTTGTTTGCATCAAGCAGTTAACTTGTTACTTAAATCCTGATGGCTGCAGTGAGATGTACAATCCAATTTTAAGTATGTTTAGTCACTCCTGCAAAATTTAGTTAGGCTTACTCTCATGAAAGTGCACACAGAATTGCTATCTTAGGCTAAGGCTGAAACTAGATTTACAAGCAGTTGTGTGAAACTTTTACTGATATTTTTCCCCTTAAACCAGAAGCAGCCTTGGGAGGACTCTTCCCCCATTCTTTCCAGAAGTTCCCCTTAATTCTTCTTGCCTATTTGTCTTTTCATATAAAATGTCCCCCATGCACCCAGCTCATCTGTTGGGTGGCAGCTGTTGCTCTAGCTATGCACACAATTCCAAGCCAAGGCTAATGGGGACTGAGATTCTGGCAGTGTCACACAAGAGTGGTTGGTACTTGCATTTATAGTCCAATTCAAGTTCAGTAGGCAGCTCATTTCGGCACTTAAGAATACGTGAAGTAGGACTGTAAATTATATATAGCCCACCACCCATGTTTGGCAGGTGCTTCATAGGTGGGCTGTTCTTACTGCCTACCTGGGATTGAAGTGTGTGAATTACCTGGGAGGGCACAATACATGGTGGCTGAGGTGCAGTCACCTTGATGAGCCACAAGCTGCACAGGTGTGCTTTAAAGTATCCATCCCAAAATAAAAAGGAATCCTTTCACCTCAGCCATTAGATGTCTAACATTACTTACCAGCCATTTATTCCTATGTAGAGATCTAACTCTATTATAGCTGCTGCCTCCTCTTTGGTGCCATCAAAAGAGTGTACCTGTAAACAAGTAATGATACACCTTTATCATCTGAAGATGCATTGAGATTTATCTAACTTAAGTACACAAGCTTTCCCTTTTCTTGCATTTCTCCAAAGCCAGTTGCTATTTCTGAATAGCATTTGCTAGCTGTGTGCACACAAGCTCTGATAATTTTTGCCACCCAAAATGAGCAAGTGTATGTATGGAGCCCTTAACCGGTAAGAGCCAATCAACAAAGTCCATGCTGCGGGACAGAACCATCTGTGGACTGGTCAGGAATTCGGTTAAATCAAAGATCTTTGATTTAATCTAATGAGTAGAAGGCAACGAGACCAGCAGCCCAATTCAAGGAGGCTGAAAGACAGCTCCCCTACCTTGCCTCTGATGCAAAAGGCACTGTAGCTTAGCTGTCAGGACAGGCCCATTGCTTGAGTATGTGGTACTTCTTGTTGTTTAGTCGTGTCCAACTCTTCGTGACCCCATGGACCAGAGCACACCAGGCACTCCTGTCTTCCACCGCCTCCCCCAGTTTGGTCAAACTCATGCTGGTAGCTTCAAGAACACTGTCCAACCATCTCATCCTCTGTCGTCCCCTTCTCCTTGTGCCCTCCATCTTTCCCAACATCAGGGTCTTTTCCAGGGAGTCTTCTCTTCTCATGAGGTGGCCAAAGTATTGGAGTCTCAGCTTCAGGATCTGTCCTTCCAGTGAGCACTCAGGGCTGATTTCCTTAAGAATGGATAGGTTTGATCTTCTTGCAGTCCATGGGACTCTCAAGAGTCTCCTCCAGCACCATAATTCAAAAACATCAATTCTTCAGGGGCGGGAAGATGTGGTACAGGTCATGCCATTCATCCCCACTGCAGCTGTTTTTGGACTACAACTCCCATCATCCCTAGCTAGCAGGACCAGGGGTCAGGTATGATGGGGGTTGTAGTCCAAAAACAGCTGCAGACCCTGGTTTGGGAAACCCCGCCCTATTTCACAGCTGTGTCACACAACCACCATTATTCCATCCTGAGATAATGTGAATGCACTGTTCATTTCAAAGGCTGCAAGACTATGCCCACTTATTTAGGAATAAGCCCAGCTGAACTAAATCTGTACAGGTCGTTTTGCACCCTATGCAAAGGCAAACTTGGGTTTCATACAGTGTATACTCAACAGGGGGCGGCCCTTCCCTGTTCAATGTGTCTAGGAAAAAGGTGACAATCACATTCACAACACTTAAAAAAAGAATGTGGATTTCAGAGTAATGAAGTAGAACTAGTCATCTGGTTTACAAAACGAGTCTACCTGTAAATTTCAGACTAGTCCCCACCTTAAAGTGCTTGCTCACGGGGTAATTTTACCGAGGGCAACTAGAAAGCATTGCATATTTTAGTTTTCAGCTACTTTGAAACACATGAAAAGTGAGATATCTGTTTATAAAATAAACTTGTATCACAAAGAGGTTGATGCTGAAAAGAAACGCAACTGAACATCAGGCACTTACCACTCCTCCCACACACCTCTCTCTGTTTCGCCTCATTATATCTGTGTGAAAGGAGAATATTTTAAATTAAAAAGCCCAGAGATTTCTTCATTCAACTTCTACATTTTTAAAAAAGTTTTCTTTTGCAAAACCTACCTACAAATTCTGGATGTGAATTCCTACAGTGCAGAAACATGGGTAATTTTGTTTGCTCAGATAAATCGAATTGTTTTTCAAAATACCTGAAAAGAAATAAACAGAAGTGTCCCTACATTTAATGAAATCTCAGCTATAGATTATCTAAATGGTTCAAGGCGTTAGAAAAAATGGAAATATTATTATTATTATTATTATTATTATTATTATTATGCAGACATAATCCTGCCAGCAGGAAACACTTTTAAGTCCCATTTAGTTCTATGGGAAGGTTAAGCATGTGCTTAGCTTAAACTCAATAGGATTTGAAAATGTTTCATGTTTGCCACATCATGCCAGGTTTTGTGTGATTTCTCAGTAAGAAAAGTGGTTCTAGACTGTGTAAAGCAGGAGTGGCCAAGTTTTCGTGGCTTGAAGGCCCCACTGACATCAGCCACCCATTCAAGGGACACACGCCTGTGGTGGGTATTGCCAATTTATAAGCAACTGTACACACACACACACACATGGATGGACCACATGCATATATATTCATCAGACATGCACATTCAACCCACATACAGCACATACACCCAACATATATGAAAGCACAGAGCATTCTCCCAGGCTCACACATATATACATGCACTCACACTCTTCCCCACAAACTCACCTGGAGACGCAGAGACACACGCAAATCATTTCCTGTCTTTCCCACTCGAGTGGCAGGGTGAGGGTGTCTAGCAACGCTGAAGTTTAGTGCTAAGATCGGGAGACAAAAGATCCCCCTCCCTGCTCTTTGGAGAGCATCTCATGAGGGATCTTTTCTCCCGATCTTAGAGTGTCAGGTAAAGGTAAAGGGACCCCTGACCATTAGGTCCAGTCGTGGCCGACTCTGGGCTTGCGGTGCTCATCTCGCTTTATTGGCTGAGGGAGCCGGCGTACAGCCTCTGGGTCATGTGGCCAGCATGACTAAGCCACTTCTGGCAAAACAGAGCAGTGCAGAGCAACGCCGTTTACCTTCCCGCCGGAGTGGTACCTATTTATCTACTTGCACTTTGACGTGCTTTCGAACTGCTAGGTTGGCAGGAGCAGGGACCGAGCAACGGGAACTCACCCCATCGTGGGGATTCGAACCGCTGACCTTCAGATTGGCAAGTCCTAGGCTCTGTGGTTTAACCCACAGCACCACCCGCGTCCTGTAGAGTGTCAAGTACCATAGTGCTAAAACCAGCATGTTCTTCCACAAGAAGAATGCAGCATTTCTCTCACCACCTCTGCCCATACCGGCTAGGACTGCACATTTACAGTGGCCTTCTGGGGTGATCTAGAAAGTGGCTTCCTTACGTTACAGCCACAACACATACATTTTCAGTGGCTGATATTTCATTAAGGCCAAGAGGAGACTTAAAGAAGTACTTGGGTGGGGTGGGGTGATTTGGGAGGGCCATGCCTTCTTTATAACAGCAGCAAAATTATGTTTCAAAGCCATTAGACCAGGATACAGCCTAAGCAAGAAATGGTAAAAAGCCAGGGCTTGTATGGATGTTGCCAGAAAAGCAATGCTGTTAAAATACAGTCGTACCTCGGAAGTCGAACAGAATACGTTCTGCAAGTCTGTTCGACTTCCAAAACGTTTGGAAACCAAGGTGCGGCTTCCGATTGGCTGCAGGAAGCTCCTTACAACAGGAGGTTGTATTTGCATCGTGTGATGTGCAAGTGTCAGACCAAACATTACACAATCATAGTTTACCTTTGAATTGTGAAAGAATCCTAGCTAACCAACTGTGCTGCCATGACTGATGCTGGGTCTCCCCCTATGCAGAAGAGCATAAATATCACACAGATGACTGTCAGTTGTCAGCACTGTCTTATGAGCTGCCATCAAAAACGCAGTGGCAGCAAATACTTGGGATTTTCAGAAACATTTGTGGAACGATTTGGGAAGGACAGCGACATCATGGAATCATAGAATTGGAAGGTACCCCAAGGGTCATCTAGTCCAACCCCCTGCAATGCAGGAAATGGAAGCCTCCATGTTCAGATGCAGTTATGCATCTTGGTAACCAGGTTCTGGGGGCAATTAAAGAGATGGCTACCACACCTCTGCCCTGCTTGTGGACATCCAGAGCCGTCTGTTTGACTGCTGGAATGAGAGATTCAACATTCTAATCCTGCCAGCCAAACCTCACATTCTTAAGCTTATTACACCAGAGACTGGGAGTCTTCGCCCTCCCAAGCTGTTTCTGCATTACAGATACCATCATCTTTGACCATGATTAGCCATACTGGCTGAGGCTGATGGGTGTCTGAGTCCAGCAGCAACTGATGGATCACAGCTTCCCCCATCCCTAAGGTAAAGGTAAAGGGACGCCTGACCATTAGGTCCAGTCGTGACAGACTCTGGGGTTGTGGCGCTCAACTCGCTTTATTGGCCGAGGGAGCCGGCGTACAGCTTCCGGGTCATGTGGTCAGCTTGACTAAGGCGCTTCTGGCAAACTAGAGCAGCGCACGGAAACGCCATTTACCTTCACGCCGGAGCGGTACTTATTTATCTACTTGCACTTTGACTTGTTTTCAAACTGCTAGGTTGGCAGGAGGTGGGACCGAGCAACGGGAGCTCACTCCGTCGTGTGGATTCAAACCGCCAACCTTCTGATCAGCAAGTCCTAGGCTCTGTGGTTTAACCCACAGTGCCACCTGCGTCCCCCCCCCATCCCTACAATGCACAATAAAAACAACTAGCTTTTATTGGCATGTGTTTCATGTTAAATTCCTTGGTTTTTGCGCCTGGTTCATTCCCTTTCCATTTCACGTCAGTGTTTTTCTGCGGCCAAGATTAACATTACAGCAACCAGCGCCTTGTGCACTCAGTACCAAAGCATAAAGTGACCCCTCCACTCAGTGCAGATACCAAAAAAGTGGAATAGGATGCTGCTGTTCAATTTAATTCAGCACTGCAACTTCCCATCCTCTGGTCATCTGGCATGCACAACTTCTACTCGAGGGCTGGTATTTTGGGCCCTGCCATCATACTTTATGATGATTTGTGCATGTATGGATTGCAAAAATATCACCCATGGAATCAAAGCACTGGCCAGCCACTGCAAGTTCCAATGAATGATGTGGTGGAAGCAATGGGATGGTTCAGCCACGTGAAGAAGCAGTCAGGGGTCTGGTGTGACCTGTAGGCCATTTAGGGAAGAACAGGGATTTGGGGTGGTAGGGTGGAAGAGCAACTGTTCCTTGGCTTCCAATGGCTGCCACTGGGAGAAAATCCTTGATAATAAAAACAACACTGTTCAAAAGTATGAAGGATGCAGTTTCTCTTATGTGTTAAGTAAACCTCTCTTACTTGAGTTGAGTGTCCTTAGTGCAGAATTCTAATCTGTCAAAATCTGGAAGAGAGAATTGACAAACAATTAACTGGCTTTTGAATTGCCAGGAAGGAAACATCACTGCCAAGCCACTTGGTTGCTACTCACCCAAGCCACACTCTCCAATTGCTATGACCTTCCCTTTATTTTTCTCGGCTAGACCTTGTAGCTCTGCTAAGTACTGCTCAGGGTTGCTCTGTTCAAACTCTCCACAGCGGGTGGGGTGGCAGCCAACAGTACTATAAAACATGTCTGAAAACAAACGGCATGAACGTGTTGGTCATTATTGCTAGAATGCTTGTCAAGTGCAGGGTGCATCGCAGCATAAGGGTTCCAGCCTCCAGCCTCCAAAGAACTTGCATCCTAAAGCCTGATGGTGTGCCGATGCAATGGTAACAGAGGCTGAATGCAAGGATATGCTGTTACATGTACTTAGGACCTGGGAGTGAAAATTTGGGGAACTCAAGAAGCAAGGGCTTCATGGAGCAGGGAGGCGCCATATAGATTTCGAAGACAACGTAAAATTCTGTACATCGGTACAAAGCTTTCTTTAACTCAACTTTTAAATTAACTTATTCACTTTTGAATCAGGTAGTTCCTGTGGTCGTGAAACCAGCCTTGGAATGGCACAGTGTCACTTGAGACACACAGCATAGCAGCTAAGATTGTGAGCAGGTGGTTACATACGCTCTGCAAAGACCACAAAGCAAGTGATCACCTGACTCATCATCTCCCCTTGTGTGTGTGACTCTATGTAGGGTTCACTTGACAAGACATCAGCCCTAGCAGCAGTGAGTTGGGTCGACACAGCGAACCGCCCCAAAGGAATGGTGTGTGAGAAGCATTCCTTTCCTTCTGCTCATAATTCTTTGGACTGAACTGGTGCATATTGGCTTTGGTCATTTTAAATGTTAAATACAGGATAATTAAAGCATTCCATTGAAAGCAAAGAACATAAAGAGGCAAATACCATTTGTCTGTGCCAGCTGAAGTGCATCTTTGCTATCTTGCAAACTTCCACCTGTAATCATGAACTGGAATAAAAAAAGAAAGTTTACTTATAGTGCTAATTTCTAAATGTTAGGATTCATTTATATCTTGAAAAACACAGATATCAAAAGCCAACAGAAACAACTGAAATTCAACACAAAACACACTACCCAAAACCTTTGAAGAACAAATGTACCTTTTTAACACCAGTTTTGACCGCTCTAGCCACCACATCCAAGAAGTCATCTGCAAAAAGACAGAAGTGAAACCCTTAATTTAAAGCATCCGTATGGCCCAGTCTAGTTCTGGAAACTTTAACAGCCTCAGGTATGCAGCAGCTCCTACATTTCTTTTCCTTTTCCTGCAACTTTACAGCAGTAATGGACAATCAAGTTGTGGTATTTCCATTAAGCAGCACAGATATCCTTATTGACTAGGAAGGACTATAGCTCAGATTCTTTGAAGATCATTGAAAGTAATTTCCTCCACAAGCAGTACCACACTCAAGTGATTTTAGGATTGTGATTCATCAAGTTTTCCTTGATTAATATTTTCCCTAGGAACAAATTCAACATATATAAGTGATCATCTCCACATGTATGCTCCACCAACTGCCAGAAATTGACTTCTTAATCATCTATGCATCATTAGAGCTTCTTGGTCATGCAGCAAGGCGCTTTTGATAGTTTCCCTTCAGCAATTGAATACTGTACTCTCCATCTGGAGACTTGCTGAAACTTAAGTCTTAGGGTGGCACAATGTGACTAATTCATACTGAGAAAAGACTCACACCGAAGTTACATCACAAGTAGCTTTAGTTTTCAGTGAGTGTACTCTCAGTATGATGGTCAGATAGCACACTTCAAAGGCACAACACTAAGCATGCTTATTCAAAAATACTGAGTCCAATGCAGCGTACTCCCAAGAATGTATTAACAGAATTGCAGCCTTACAGCACAATCCTATGCATGCATGCTTAGAAGAGAGTCCCATTGTGTTAACTGAGGCTTACTCCCAGCTAAGAGTGTTAAGGATTGTGGCTTTACAGCGCAATTTTACACACGTCTACTTAGAAGCCATACTGAACTGAATATGACTTCCTCCCAAGTAAGATATGCAAAAGATTGTATCCTCAGGGCAGACCCATATCAATTAGTCATGTTCAATAATTTTAATGGGTGTACTCTGAGTAAAACTGCATTGAATTACCACTCTAGTGGGTTTTTTCTCTCTCAAAATGGATGGGTGGGAGACAAGAGCAGGATGAAAGTCGAATTTTAATAAATTCCAATATTATTAATAATCATTAATAATAATGTCACTCTCTGGGAATGGGGGGACCTCCAAAAGTGTAACCTGAAAGAAAATGTCCCTTGCAGATGCATACCTTGAATATCTGGGGATATGAGGACCACAGAAGGAGCCATTAAAGAAACAGACAGAATATTTACCTTGATGCTTTTGAGTACCTCTGTATATGCCTTTGAACATAGGATCAGTTAAATTAACACCGATATCTAGAGAGAGAGAGAGAAAATTAATTAGTATCCTCAACTTGGATCATTGTCTATGCTGCCTGGGGATGATGGGAGTTGGAGTCCATCATCTGAAAGGCTCCTCACCTGCAGTTTCAAGATGTCAGAAGATCTGATGGGTCCCCGACATGTGATGAAACTATGACCCTATGCTTTAGATATATACTGGTTGCTGTTAGAGGCCGGAGTCTGTACTAGGAGAGGATCCCTTTAAAAATCCTGCAAAACCTTTCTTATGGAACGAGGGCTGTCTTGCATGTGGCTCATTCATGCAAAACACCAAGGCCAGAACTTTCAGGCCACCTCGTGTGCAATGCTCTTTCAGTGGAGTCAATATACACAGTGCACCTGCCAAATCATCAAATGACAGAGAGAGTCAAATGCATGCAGGCACTAACCCCCAAGAGAAGCCACTAAATGCAGATTCTCATCTGGCAATGGCTGCAGGGGAATCGCTGCAGGATGTGAGGGAAAGGGTTGGAACTGTCTCCTGTGTCCATTTGTAGGCAAATACCGCAAACGGATTAGATCTCTGCAGAAATCTGACTGCTTGCAGCAAAGACCAAAGGTCTCTTGTGTGCATTTGTGAGATACAAGCAAAGCAGAGAAGGAGCTACCAGTTACGGCTCCGGCTTTGCGCGCCGGGGTACCCAGAAGCAAGCCCCGTATATTACAAATAAGAAATGAATGGATGAAATCGACGGGCCCTGCTTCTGAGTAAGCATGCGCAGAATCGGAATTGTGACTTGGGGGGCTTGCTCCCCAGCCAACGCGCACAGGATCGCCCTGCGCGCACCTGCAACCCCGCGCAGGTTCCCCTCAGGGGAGCGAGGCTGCGATCCCGAACCTCGCATCTACCCGGGAGCAAGCTCCACTGACAACGACGGGGCTTGCCCCGGAGTAAGCGCGCCTGGGATGGTGCCCTGGAGGAGGGGGGTCCCTTCGGCCCGTTCCGCAGCCGCCACCCCACCTCGAAGGGCTGCCCCCGAGCGACTAGGCCCGGCGCCCTCTTTGCGGACGCAAAGGAACACCCCCCCAGTTGCCCAGGCAACCGTCCTCACCAATGAACTTGAAGCGGCTCATGACGACGGCGACTGAGGCCCGCGCGCCTCTCTCTCTCTCCTTCTCTCTCTCCTCCCATAGACTGCAGAAGCGCCGACGTCACTTCCTGTTTCCCTTTGAGCGCTAGCCGTATGCTGGGTAGGTGCGTAAGAAGGCCGAATGGACCATAGAGGCGGGTGCCGCTCTATCCGCCACTGTTAGAAATTTATCTCTATGGTTCCTTCTCTCTATTCCTCTTCTGTATTATTATCCATCGCATTTAAATTATACTGAACATTATATATAATGCAGCGTTAAATCATTGTTAATTTTCAAATATTTTTAGAATTGTGCTGCATTTGTGATGTTCCATTATCTCCTAGCATGTTCTCCTTAATTTAATGTTGGCAAGCCGCTTCGGGCATTCGCGCGGAGAAGCGGCATGGAAATGTAATAAAGCAAAAAAAAAAAAAAAGCCCTTAACTTTATTGATTTAATGTATTTGATTAATTCGCCGCATTTGGTGCTACCAATGCACATGGTTTCCCTTCACCACCCTGCTGCCCCTGTTTTATCCTGGGTGGTGGATAGCAGGGGACTGGCCCCAAGGTCACCCAGCTTGCTCATGGGGATATAAATTACAGTGGTGATATTTTCTAATTCACATCGTGGAGCCAACTTCAAAAGCCCCCAGGGCAGCCTGAAGGGAAGCACCGGCTTTTTGCCTATTGGCCTCTGCAATTGTCTTGATTCCTTATCTCTATCTGCCTTTGGCCAATTGGCCTGTGCGTTTCTCCAGTTTCATCATTATCATCATAATAAATTTTATTTATACCCCGCCCTCCCTAGCCAAGGCCGGACTCAGGGCGGCTAACAACCAATAATAAAAACAAGTTGAATGAATACAACTTAAAAACAAGATTAAAATACAACATTAAAACATTAAAATGCAGCCTCATCACAGGAGGAGAAAGGGGGGGGGAGAGGGGTTGGGAATCAGATTGACTCCAAGCCAAAGGCCAGGTGGAACAACTCTGTCTTACAGGCCCTGCGGAAAGAAATCAGATCCTGCAGGGCCCTGGTCTCATGAGGCAGAGCGTTCCACCAGGCCGGAGCCAGTGTTGAGAAGGCCCTGGCTCTGGGTGAGGCTAATCTAACTTCCTTAGGGCCTGGGACCACTAAGGTGTTGCTATTTATGCACCTTAAGGTCCTCCGTGGGGCATACCGGGAGAGGTGGTCCCGTAGGTACGAGGGTCCTAGGCTGTGAACCAGCACCTTAAGTTTGGCCCTGTACTCCACCGGGAGCCAGTGCAGCTTGAAAAACACTGGATGAATATGCTCCCATGGCCTTGCTGCAGCATTCTGCACCCGCTGGAGTTTCTGGGACAGCTTCAAGGGCAGAATTACAGTAGTCAAGCCTGGAGGTGACCGTCGCATGGATCACTGTGGCCAGGTCGGGGCGGGAAAGGTAAGTACAATATTAAATACAATGCCTGTATTTAATAAAATATACTTCCCTCAGATTCCTCATGGGACAATGCAAGCAGAGGTCTGCATAGCCTTCATGTTTGACCATCTAACAAATTAGTTTTAGAGCAAAGCTGAGCGGCTGTCTATTTAAGAATAAAAGCTACTAGGCAAATGCTTCTTTTCCTACACAACACTGCATTTTGCCTGTTAGTGAACCACAGAAACAGCCCCCCCCTTTAAACTTTGGAGTTGGGACTTGGAGTACTCATGAATTTCAAATGAGCAGCTTGGGGTGGGTTCTGCTTGTTTGCTTTTGGGGGAATATTTGCCTCTGAGGAAACCTGAAGCAGTGGTATTGGCAAGATGGAAAAGACAACTAGTCACATACATTTACGTCCTACGTCCTGATTGACCGAAATAATCCGAAGCTAGGCATTTTTCATACTGTAAAATAAAGCACACACAAAGATCAACTTCAGTCTACTTCTGCAGGTTCAAAAGTCAGGGAACCTTCGGCAAGGCTCCACAATGTCAAACCAAGTCATTTCTACGACCTAGGAAGAAGTTTGAGTGAAGACATGGTCGGGGCGGGAAAAGTAAGGGACCAACTGCTTGATGCGGCGAAGGTGGAAAAAGGTCGCCTTGGCTGTTGCTGTAACCTGCGCCTCCGTATCTCTTATCTGCTTTTTGCCAATTAACCTGTGCGTTTCTCTAAATTCCTTATCTCTATCTGCGTCTTTGCCCCACTCTACCCTTTCCCCTTCCATATCTCTACATTCTTCTTTCCTATCTCTATATTCCCCATCCCGGATAGGCCGCTTCCTCTGACGTCACCCTCCCACGATCCCTTGCGGCGAGCCCTCCTTGGCAAGGTGAAGGAGCTGGCGGCCCAGCCAAGATGGCGGCGTACCTGACCCACCAGCAGAAAGTGCTGCGTCTCTACAAGCGGGCGCTGCGGCACCTCGAGTCCTGGTGCATCTTCCGGTGAGAGACGGGGGGGGGCTGCTCCCCGGGACCCTCCCCTCTCTTTGGCCGCCCTCTCCCGTTATCTGCCGGGGTCCGAGGGAGAAGGAGGGCCTCTGTCCTTCTCCGTGACAGGGCCTCGCTCAGACCTCCTTCGTTTATTCCGCCTCTTCTCCTGTCTTTCCTCTCGGGGGGGGGGGGCGGGCAGCTTCTCTCGTGGTTGCTTCTGTGTCTCTTCCTTACGGCCCTCCCATTTCGCCAGGACAACAACAACCTTGCGAGGCAGGGCGGCCAGAAGGGGAAAAGGGAGCCCCATTGAACCAAAAAAAGGGGGGGGGTAAGGAAAAAAGAGCAAAGTAAGTCAGGTCTGCTTAATCAAAAACTAGTAATATCCAAAGACAACACGATGACCAAGTGCAACAATGAGATGTCAATATAAACTCTATATAATCTTTATAGAACAATACGAAATATATGAAATATGCACTCTCTGCAAAACCAAATAAACAGAAATCTTCTAAATCTCTAAAAGTCACAAAAGATGGATTCTCTTGAAGACATAGAACCAAAAGATGGATTCTCTTGAAAACATAGAAGCAAATAAACATAAGTCTTATAGGTCTCTGAAAGTTTTTGTGGGCTATGCAAGTCTCTGAAAGAAGCAATGGGTCAGATTCTTATCTGGTGAAAACAAGCCGTAAAGCTTTGTTTTATGACTTCCAACGCTGCTGAAGTGGTCCGCAAACAGATGTAGTGAACAGTGATCTAAAACTAAGCAGACCCATTGACTGTGGTCCTCAAACTTTTTTCTCAGGACCATTCTTTCAGAATAAAAATTTCCCCGCACCACACCAGATTTTTAATTCATGAGTAATGCCTTGGAAAACTGAATATTGGTTTTATATAGCGGACGGATGAAGAATTGGAAGTTCTTTACTCTCCGATTTTTAAATTTTTCATAGAATCTTAGAGTTGGAAGGGACCCAAGGGTGATCTAGTCCAACCTTTCTGTTTTTTTATTGTATCTGTATGAAAGTCTTGGTTTGGTAAAAAAGGAAAAATATTTCAAGTTTTGTATTTTTTCCCTATAAAGCTTAATAAATTTTATTTTTTTAAAAAGGGAAACAAAAAGAAACCACTCCTAGCCATGCTTGATTTATAATAGGACATCCAGAAAGTATAAAATAATGCAGCTACATAAGAACGTGAATAATATTGATTGTCCTTGAATCTTGCTGCCACACCAGGGTGGTACTGCGAACCACTCTACTGTAATAGCAGGACCAAAAGTAAAAAGGGAGCTTCATTGTTCCAAAAAAGAGCATGGTAAGACTTAATAGTATTAATTTATACATACATACATACATACATAAATAAATAAATAAATACGTACATACTTTTATTTGTATGCTGCCTTTCCACAGTTCAAACCATGCCGGAGGTGGCTTATAACATGAAAAAATGCATAACTACAACATACAAAAGTGATTCTAAGCAATAAATAAAACATGAAATAATACACAACCAAACTGAACAATTTCTAGACATTCCTAATCAAGGTATTGCCCTTCTGTAGATCCTGTTAGGAAAGGTAGGCTCTGAGATGGTGATTGGCCCAAGATCACTGTGAGTTTCATAGCTAATAGGATTTTGACCCTGGGGCTGACTAGCTGTAGTCCAATGCTCTAACGTTCTAATTACACTTTTTACTACAGTGGTGCCCCGCAAGACGAAAAACTCGCTAGACGAAAGGGTTTTCCGTTTTTTGAGTTGTTCCGCAAGATGAATTTCCCTATGGGCTTGCTTTGCTTGCGAGTTCTTGCATTTGTTTCCTTTTTCTTAAAGCCGCTAAGCTGTTAATAGCCGCTAAGCCGCTAATAGCCGTGCTTCGCAAGATGAAAAAACCGCAAGACGAAGAGACTCGCGGAACAGATTAATTCGTCTTGCGAGGCACCACTGTATTGTGTTTCACATAGAAACATGATGCATTTGTCAACATCCCTTGTATGTCAAGGTTTCTGACATGGCAAAATTTTACCTTTTAATATTTCTGGTACTAATATTCCCCCACCCCTTCTCTTTCTTTTCTCCTCACCCATTTTGTGATTTTTCTGCTATTTGTTGATGTTTGCTGGTGGGTGGGCTGAGGGGATCAGGTGAGGTTTCAGCATTTCCCTGAAATCATTTTAACAAGGGTTAAGATGAGCTCACGGGTCTTGTTGTCGCTTCAGATGGTCTTTGCTCCCGTGTTAATTATTGTTTACCCCATGCTGTGCTTCCTGACCACCCTATTCCTCAGGAGCACCTATGTTTTTAAAGTAAAGGGCTGAGCAGTGAGGTGACCAGGTTGCAGATGATACCGTATTATTCAAGATGTTGAAAAATAAAGCAGACTGGAAAGAGCTGCAAAAGAATCGCTCCAGACTGGGTGAATGGGCAACAAAATGACAGATGAGGTTGAAAGTAAGTTTCAAGTGATATACATGGGGACAAATCAATCGTATCTTCACATGTAGACAAACGAGGAAATTAGATATTGGGGTAGTGTTGTGTAGCTCAGTGAAAATGTCAAGCCACTGTGCGGCACCTTTGTAAAAAAGGACCAGTTGTATTCTAGGGATTGTTAGGAAAGGGATTAAAAATAAAACTGCCAAAGCTGTCATTCAAATCTATGGTGTGAACACACTTGTATACAGTTTTGCGCTCTGTATCTCAAAATCGATATTCTAGAGCTGAAAAAGCTGCCAAAGGGGACAACCAGAATAATATGGGGCTAAATTCCCTTCTATACAGGAAATATTTAGGTCTTCAGGAGCGTCTAGCACTCTCATTTGTGCTTAAAATGTGATCCATGGCTATAAATCCCCTCACAGCCATGCACAGCTGTATTTAAGAGCCAAAATAACAACCAAATAGTTAATCAACTAGTTAGAATCTTAGATAATGTTTAGGGCTTTATGCCTAAAATTCTAATTTTGTGAAACATTATCTACACACTAGATCCCTCTAGTGGCCATTCCATAGAAATGGTTCTATTATAACAGTCTTAAGTAGAATTCTTATCTAGTGCATTAGTAAAATTGGGTAAGTGGTTGTGGATTTTACAGGGTGTCCTATGAACATGGTGCCCCATGACATTTTATCCATGGAGCAATCTGTGTGTAGCTATCTGACAGTGCGTTAACTCTCAGCGACTGCAGAATGGTACAAACAGGGCTACATCTGTCACTACAATAGTCACACACCTTTGCAGTTTACATTATAAAATGCATACAAATAACAGTTGTTAAAATGGTGATAAAATAATAAAACTGACATTAAAAGATAGCAACATCAGCAGAGAAAGCTATTGTTAAAACAGCGTTATAAAATTACCAAAATGCAGCCTGGATTTTGTTTTAAATGGTTCATAAAGAAATAATAACCATGGTTAGCTCTAAAAAGGGGAAAGGGATTTGTGTTTGAGAAGGGGAAAGGAGCAGAGGAGCCCTCTCTAGTAACTGTGATTGGGAGATCAGGCAGCATTATATCTTCATTGGCCTATATCAGGGACCTGTAATTTCACGATGGTTATCTTTTTCCTTTTTCCTTGCATTCTCAGGGACAGGTATCGATTCTTCGCCTGCCTGCTGAGAGCACGGTTTGATGAACATAAGGATGAAAAAGATATGGTGAAAGCATCCAAGTTGTTGCTGGCTGGTGAACAAGAATTTTGGGAAAATAAACACTCTGAGCCTTACATCTTTCCTGATGCTCCAGGGGGCACATCTTATGAAAGATACGAGTGCTACAAGGTCAGTACATTACAAGGCAACTTGCAACTAACCTCCGTAATCCGTTGCAAACAGCACTGTGCACATGCTTGGGATAGTTATCAGTTTCAGCAGAGAGTATTGATTAGTACAAGAAGTATGCTAAATTGGGGGGGGGGCAACCCTTTGAGCAGTCAGAAGGGAAAAAGAAAGGGCTGATGTGTTTTCTTTTCCCAAAGAAAATGAAACGGTTAAGTTCAAGGAGTATATTTCAGACATGGGAAAATGTAAGTGAGAAAAGTATTAGGTCTTGGGCGTAAAGAAGAGTCATGGAGAGGTCAGAGAGACCAAATTTTTGCTAGAACACAGAAGTTGTCTTCCAGTAAAGTATTATCAAAAGGGGGGGACCTGTGTGCCTCCTAAAAGCAAGAAGATGGAGGCACAGAGCAGCGCTGCTTCTGCCATTATACAAATATGTGCTGCATTGATCCTACTGTCACTCTCATCCATGCTGAAGAGGAGTACAAGTTGGAGGATTAGATGTGCATCCTTTAAATAGCTCACATTATCTGCTTCAGAAGCAGCAGAAGAATCATATTATCCAGAAGATCCATCATTTTAACGGGCGGGAGTGATTTGCGGGTCACTGGAGCCCTACATATCAGGAAGGTAAAGGTAAAGGGACCCCTGACCATTAGGTCCAGTCGTGACTGACTCTGGGGTTGCGGTGCTCATCTCGCTTTATTGGCCGAGGGAGCCGGCATACAGCTTCCGGGTCATGTGGCCAGCATGACTAAGACGCTTCTGGCGAACCAGAGTAGCGTATGGAAATGCTGTTTACCTTTCCGCCAGAGCGGTACCTATTTATCTACTTGTACTTTGACGTGCTTTCGAACTGCTAGGTTGGCAGGAGCAGGGACCAAGCAATGGGAGCTCACCCTGTTGCGGGGATTCAAACCGCCAACCTTCTGATCGGCATGTCCTAGGCTCTGTGTTCAGCACCACCTGCGTCAGGAAGGTAGTGCATGCCCAAATGGCCTCTGGTAACCAACCATTCATTTGGAAAGTGAGGTAGTTCTGCCCATACCTCTGCCAAATGAGTTGGATGGCGAAATTTCTTCTTTTCTAGTAGCTCAGTATGCTGCTGTAGGAGCCCATGAGGAAATGTATAATATTTTTCATTGGGTATGTGAAGCTGTCTTGTAGTCAGGTGTAGACCTGTCCTGTGCCTTACCAGCCATGCTGCTCGCTCCAACATGGAGATGGTGGGGACTGAACAGGGACCTTTTGCATTCAAAGCAAGCTCTTGCACTGAGCTCTGGCAACTTCCCTCTTTATTTAGGATCATGGGGAGTCTTTTGGAAGGTGGATGGATGATACTTATTCTATTGGCTCTCCTGACTATAGTCCAGTATTTTATTGCAGGATCTTCTGACTGAAGAGTAGTTGTGTGGCACAAGCGGACTCATAGAAATGAAGCCTCACAACAGGGTGCACACCTTGTAATTCTTTCTTCTCAATTTGGTTTAAATTGCACATTGCAGCAATTCAAGCCTAAAAATTGCTAGGTCTTTATTAAACTAGTCTACTGGGTCTTTATTAAACTAGCCTCTTAAACAAAGGAATACACTGAAGCATTACAGGAAAAATGTGCCTTCAAAGAGACAAGTAATCTTTGCCTACATTGTTATTGCAGTGTTTTAAGTTATTGTCTGGTTTCCAATCTGACAGGCACCCGAATGGTTCCTAGATTTATGGCATCCTTCAGAGAAGGCAATGTATCCGGACTACTTTGCCAAGAGAGAACAGTGGAAGAAGCTGAGGATGGAAAGCTGGGAGAAAGAGGTTGGTCTTGCTTCTTCTCTACTGCCTGTACTGCAGTGTAGACTTCTGTGTGTTGAAAGACAAAACAAATGGCAGTCGCAGATATTTAGACATTCTGCTTGTTTCCTAACAACCTATCTTCAAACGCCATCATTACCATGAGGCCTAGATACCTCATCATCATCTTTGAAAGCCCATTCTCACTTTGCAAATGCGCAGCACTGCATTTCAGTGGCACGTTGCCCATCCCGAACTAAGTGGCTAATCTGGATAGCTTCCTCTCTCCCCGGTCAGGATACCAGTTAGTACTTCCATCGTATCTTGGCATGGGAAACTTTCTGATTCGTGTTCAGTCCAGCAGGACACAAGCATGCATTGCTATAGTCTCCTGTGGAAATGTATGGGCACCAAGCTTGAAGCGGGCAACTCTATAAACAAATGCTTGGAGATGCACTCTTGGTGGCTACTGACTTGGTTTCACTCTCTTAGGTTCAGCAGCTTCAGGAAGAAACCCCAGCAGATGGGCCCAAGACGGAAGCCCTGCCTCCAGCACGGAAGGAGGGACACCTGCCTCCCCTGTGGTGGCAGTATGTCACTAGGCCACGGGAGCGTCCAGCATAAAAAGATCAACTTTCCATGTACAAAAACACTTCTCCAAGAGGAGATGAAGCCCTACCAGTAAAAAGAATGTCTGCATGCATTACTGTGGTACATGTACCCAATAAAATAAAGTTCAATGTCAATCAGTGGCGTTCGTGTGAACATTCAAGTGTGGACTATGGTGACACCTCATCTTCCTCAGTACTGTACTCAGGTACAGTACAGTACCTCAGGTTACAGGCGCTTCAGGTTACAGACTCCGCTAACCCAGAAATAGTACCTCGGGTGAAGAACTTTGCTTCCGGATGAGAACAGAAATCGCGCAGCAGTGGCGTAGCAGCAGCGGGAGGCCCCATTAGCTAAAGTGGTGCTTCAGGTTAAGAACAGTTTCAGGTAAAGAACAGACCTCCAGAACGAATTAAGTACTTAACCCGAGGTAGCACTGTATGTTGTTTTAGTATCGGTATATGCAGGGAGAAGACTTGCTCTTTAATTATGGAACCCCCTACCTGGAACTGTTTCTAATGCCTTCCTCTTATGCTGCTTCCAGAAGTTGAGCAGATTAACTCTTGGGCGAGTTTGAATCGCATAGTTTGCATGACAACCCAACGCACAAAACAGTTTCTCCCAAAGTAGGGACACCCTGTTTAAAACAGCTGCCCCATTGCCCAGTTATGTATTCTTGGGAGTCCTTATCCTCCAGATATTGGTGGGGAACGATGAGTGTGTTGGCACTCTGGTTCTTTGTACTGGGAATTCCACAAAATGTGGGTCACACTGTTTTGTTAGCTGCCTTGGGCATACTTTGATGGGAAGGCAGGGGGGAAAGACATAGAATTTTATTCTTGTGGCTGCAAATGGAAGGCTACAATGTCAGGTGAATACACTACACTGGAAGGTACAGTGGTACATCACAAGACGAATGCCTCACAATACGATAAACTCGCAAGACGAAAGGGTTTTTGGTTTTTTGAGTTGCTTCGCAAGACGAATTTCCCTATGGGCTTGCTTCGCAAGACAAGAAACGTCTTGCAAGTTTGTTTCCTTTTTCTTAAAACCGTTAATACAGTTGCAACTTGACTTCAAGGAGCAACTCATAGCACGCGGTGTGGTAGCCTTTTTTTGAGGTTTTTGAAGAGTTTGATGATTTTTGAAGTTTTTCCAAAACTTTCCCGAAACCGTGCTTTGCAAGACGAAAAAAATTGCAAGACGAAAAAACTCGCAGAATGAATTAATTTCGTCTTGCGAGGCACCACTGTATATGGAATATTCAAACACACTTCTCTTACCTGCAATGAAATGTTCCTTTTTTCTGTGTCAGTTTTGTGGTTAACGCCCAGTTCATACTTCGCTATATAATACTTTGCTGGTGTTTTAAAAGGCATAGTGGCAAAACCTTTTATTGAAATGGAGGTCATGGAGTAAGATTAGGCAACTAAAATATGAGGAGGTTTATTAGCAGGTCTTTATTTATAATATAGGCTGAAGCAATCATTACAATGTAGAAGGGTAACACAGTTAACAGCAATTTTTTATTTATAGCAATTCAGAACAAAAATGCGTGGGGGAGAGGTCAACTCTCAGTACAAACTAGCAACTAAACCACAATAACTTACCATTAGAAACATCTTTTCCTTTAAAAAACGGTGACACTGCTTTTACAATAGGCAAGGAACACACACCAAAAAAAAATTCAAACCCAACAGAATGATTCAAAGTGGTTTGTTACACCCTAAACATTGAATTTTGGCAACAGTTTTGAGAATAAAATTTTAAACCAAGAGTAAATCGTAGTGTTTAAAGAACTAAAGAGGAGCTGCACTTCTTGAGTACAGCTGGATTTTTTTAAAAAAAATGTTTTGTATGCATACCTTTTGGATCCAATCCATCAGGAATTTCTCCTGCCCAAGCCCCACAAAAACTAACGGGAATTATACAAGAGTACTGCTGAGCCCTTGTGAAATGCCAGCTGATTTCAACATGAAGCTTGCCAGGAGATGATTGTGACCCCGCGCATCCATTTTAGTCCAATTACTGTTTTCCCCGCCCCACCTTAGTTTAGTGATGGGGAAAAGATCTTGAAGCATCATTTGCAGAACGCATCCGCTATTTCATCAAGATTGGGTGGGCTTATTATACCAGAGACACTACTTGTTTTAATGTATGTTTCGAAGTAATAAGGAGCTTGTTTTTCATCAAAGGAGAGGTTTATCAATTAAAGATCATGCTTTTTTTGTCTTGTGTGGGTTTTTTTTGTTTGCTTCTGAAGCCATAACTTAAAAAAGTGTTAAGCAACCACAGCAGTGTAAATGTATATAGAACACAGTGACTATAACAGTTTTACAATACGTCTCACATCCAATGCAGTTATGTATTTAAAGCATAAGAGGTTATGTAGGCAAGATGGCAGCCAATAGGAGTCTCAAGAATGTCCGTGGAGGAGTAGATGTGTGAGCATACGCCCAAATGAGCTCCTCCCGCTGTAGGGGCTACTTCTCTGCAACCACCAACACGCAGGTCTGTTGATCCGTTATTTCCGCTTGCGTTGCCCATATAGAGATAAGGCAGACGGTATTCGTTTAGACTGCAGAATGCTTTAAAAGAAAAAGACACAACCCACAAAAGTGCAGCACACCCGAGGTGCACGAGTGATGCACGTTTTCTACCGACCCCATGAAATGGATTATAATCACAGCAATTTTCATGTTAAGAAAAGAGAAGGGAAAAAAAAACCCATCTATAAATTTATTAACAGCTTTCCTAAAATTCGTTGCTAAGAAGTCTCTTAAAAAAAAAGGTCAACCCCCCCGTAACCCCTGTAATAAATAAAAAAAGCAAAGCTGTGTGCCCGTTCCCTCCCGCATTCCCCCAAAGCTTTTAGCATTTATGAAAAAAACCAACCCAAAATGTCACTTAAGAGAAGGAAAAACAGGCCCCTTACGATAAACGTTTCTCATTTCATCAGAATTCTCAGCTGGTTCCCCATCAGATCAAGTTGTTTCCTCAAAACTAGTGGGGTGTTTGCTGTTTGTTTGTTAAGCTGCCCAGCCTGCTGAGCATAGCCAGTTGAATGAGAAGTTTTTAACTAAGAACTCCCTGGTAAATCTCCCCACCACAACCCTTTTCAAGTCTACGCATTTCTTTCTCTCCACTTCTTCATTACTGTCCCCTAACAAAAGAAAAAGAAAAAAAACGAGACAACGTGAAGAGAGAAAACAAAAAAAAGTTCTTAAGTCTAACCTGGCTTAAGATGGCATGACTTGACAAAAGTTGTTGCTTGTGCAGTCCTGAAGACAAGGGTGGGGTGGAATAATACAAATTATGATTATTAAAAGGAACAGTCCACAGAGGCTCTTCTTAGGCAGGAGATCTTATGGAGCCTTGACAATTTTTAATGGGAGAGGCTAAACACAGGAGGTGTTCCTAGTGTAAAGCGCCCATATACTTCCTACATAAACAAACACTGCAATCCAATATGGCTTATTGGGACGCATGTATCTTGAAGCTACCGCTAAGCTACTTTTGTGCAACAGTAAAGTCCCTCCCCTTTTCCTATCCCCTAAATACTAACCAATGACAGGCTCTCCCCCTCTCTCTCTTCCACTATATATTGCTTTAATCAATCAGCTGCTGTTTCCTGCCTTTTAAACATAAAAAAAGTCACTGTACTTCAGCGAGGACCTGCTTCTTGCCACGTCCTTCGTACGTTAAAAAACAAAAGCTGGTTTTCGCATCCTTCTCATGACAAGGTGCTTTGCAAAATAAAAATAAAAAATAAAAATTCCTGGGGAGAGCGAGAATGCATTACTACTACTCTCTCCTTGCCGAAGTTTAAGCTACTTGATCTTCTTCGTACGCATGTAAAACTTGTTTTTCCTTTTGTTTTGTACAAAGTGTTTATAAAAAAGTTACACAGGATTTGGCACCTTCGGGGGGGGGGGGAATCAAAAGGGAAACTCAGGTTAAAAATGTGCAGGAAAAAATAATAATCAGCAGTATTTACAAAAAAATTAAAAATAAAAATATCAGAAAAGAGGCTGTGCCTTAAGCGTTTTAGTTTGCAGGTCCCCTCCCTCCTCCCACCCCCGCTGCCCTCCATTTTAAAGAACGTTTCCAGCTGCTTTGCTAATGAGCATCCTGCAAATTCTGATTGTACAGTGGAATGGACAGACAGACGGTTTCATCAGGTAGTTCAGTCTCTGTTAAGCTGGTCAACTGGCAGTGGTCCAGCGTCTAGGAAATGCGGGGTGCCGAGCGGTCATTTGTGGTGGTCTTCTTCAGCTTCACACCCCGGCGAATGGCATTCAGCATGTCTTCGCCTTGCGGGGCCTCTCCGAGATTCTGGTCCCCCAACTGAGGCACCGGCTGGCATGGGGGAGCAGTCATGTTGGGGCTCTCCCTTTCTCCGGGCTCTCCTTCCCTTTCCCCGGCTGCCTGTCTCTGCTCCTCTCCGGCACTCGGCTTCTGGCTCACAGCGGGAGGGTTGGCGGGTGCCTGACCGCTCCACGGCAAGGCTGCACCGACTCCAACCAAATTGCCGCCTCCGGCCTCCGGGCTTTGCTCAGGGCTTTCTTCAGCCCCGCCTGGCACACTGGGCAGCCCCCCCGGCATGTCTGGGACGGTTGGCGTCTTGACCGGAATCACGGGCGTCTTGATGGGTATCGGCCCTGCCCCTATGGTCCCACGCCGGACCGTCGGTTTGGTGGAAGGGGTCCGCCGGATGGTGGCCACGCCGGGAGTAACCAGCACAGGCCCAAGGGTGGTGGGGAGGCCCGCGGTGGACGCAGGACGCTTGGCGTGAAACATGCGGCGGTACGACTGGCTGATGTCGCTGTTTCTCGGAATAGTCGAAGACTTGTCGAATTCCTGCTGCTCCGGCTCTTGGTCCCCGCTGACGGAGAAATAGTCGTAGTCCGAAACTGGGGGTGGAAAAGGCAAGTCAGGAAACTATGACTGTTCAACTGCTGCGAGCTTTTATTTCACTGCAGCAGGATGAACACAAATTACATGGGAGGCTTAGTTTGGTCAGAATTGAGTACAGCGGTACTTTGGTTGTCAAACTTAATCCATTCCAGGAGTCCGTTCGACTCCGGGAACCGTTCGAAAACCAAGGCGCAGCTTCCGATTGGCCGCAGGAACTTCCTGCAGTCAAGTGCAAGCTGTGTCAGAAGTTCGGCTTCCAAAAAACGTTTGCAAACCAGAACACTTAATTCTGCGTTTGTAGCGTTTGGGAGCCAAGTCATTCGAGAACCAAGGTACCAACTGTATATGTAACTTTTCCAGAGATAATGCTAAATACATTACTCCTGGCAAATGAGCCACTATAGCTGCTAGAGGGATATGAAATTTCGTGTCCTGGGCTTTTGGACTCTTCTACCCATGTCCTATCTGAAACCAAAGGGACATATTGGTTGTCAGATGTGAAATAACAACGTTCTTTTCAGCTCTCCTTACTACCATCTCTTCAACGCATGATGAGCCTTTGTAAAATGCACAAAGTCTGCAGCATGCAGAAGGCTTGAGAGGTGCAGCAACTTTCTTGGCTTGGCCGTTCCAAAGAAGCAAAAAATGGACACGCACATTGCTTACCTTGCGAGGGGATGGTGTCCTCTGAGCAGCAAGGTGTGGTCGTCTGGGTGCTGTAGCCGCTGGAACACTGCAGGGAATCCCGGCTGCTCCTCTGAGTGTCCAGCTGCAGCCCTCGAGTCAGAGCCAGAGCTAGCTCTTCGCAGGCCTCCATCTCCTCTCCTTGCTAAAAAGACAACAGAGGCCTCTTGTTAGGATTGCGGAACAGGGATAGCTAGTATGATCCCCCAGGGCCTCTTGCTGCAATGACCCTTTCTGTAACCCCTTCTGCACAAAGTAGATTATTACAAAATTACAGTGGTACCTCTGGTTGCGAACGGGATCCGTTCCGGAGCCCTGTTCGCAACAAGCAGAATGCAACCTGCATCTGCATGTGCCGCGATTTGCCCCTTCTACGCATGGGTGTGACAGTATTTCAAGCGTCTGTGCATGCGGCGAAACCAGGAAGTACCCATTTCCGGTACTTTCGGGTCGCCACGAGACGTAACCTGAAAAGACCTGAAGCAAACAAGAGGTATGACTGTATTCCCATTAGATAATTAGACCAACCAAAATGTCACAAAGTAAGTGTTCAAGCTCTGCAAGTAAGTGCAACAGGAAGTGCTGTCCAACAGTGGAGCGGGCTCTCTCAGGAGGATGTGGGCTCCTTCCTTCGATTCCTTCCTTCCTTGGTTTAAGCAAAGGTTGGATGGCCATCTGTCATGGATGCTTTAGCCAAGATTCCAACATTGCAGGGGGTTGGAGTCGATGACCCTCGGGTCCCTTCCAACTCTACAATTCTATGATAAGCAGCAGGTGTCTGTGCAACTTAGAAGACCATTGGGGCTCAGTTGGGCCCGTTTGGTACTGGATGAACAGGTCTACTGGGGACACAACAAAGAACAACAGAGTCTCACCCTTGGGGCGGCCGACACAGTCATGCTACGAGGTCTCTGAGCTTCCTCGGTGGCCAGAGCTGGTCCACTCTGTGCTCCCCCGGCGGGGTCTCCTTCTCGTTTTTCCTTCCGGCGTTGCAAAGTATTTACCAAGGGCTGGTCATAAGGACCTGGCTTAGCCCAATCCTAGAGGAAAAATCCCATTAATCAAAAGTTTACGCAGATTGCATACTTTCTGCAAAGATACGTGCTGGGCTCTCTGCTTTTTATTAAAGGAACAGTCTTAAGCTGTTGTTTTTCTGAGCTCATGTATGGCTTTGCCTTCAAATCAAGGCACAGGCCAGGTTGACTCCATTGCAGGAGCAACAGCACAGCAGTGAGTCAGTGACTGGTGTAATGATCTCAGCTTCCTAAGTGATGGCTCAGGAAGCCGAGGATGAGAGTCCCTCCCTCTCCTCCCCCCCCAAAAAAAACCCTTGATCTGTTCTGGGGTTTCTCTCAACCCTCTAGAGCAGACAGGGGAGGAAAGGCAGGGAAAGGAAGTCAACTTTGTTGGCTCCAATTGCTAGGATTTCATGAAATCTTGGTTTTCCTAAGCCCATTTTAATATATAGCTGGGGAAATCTCCATTTTGAGGAATAAGCTGCCAACACACAAAGGCCCTTTCCAAATGACTGAAGGAGGAAATAATTGGGTTTTTAAAAAAAATCTGTTTTACAGCCACGCTGATAAAAATACAGTGCCAGAAACATGGTGTCATTTTAATGTGACTGGGCCAATGGGTGGGAGGGTTTTGGGGACAGGATAGCAATGCACAGCTGTTCAGCGGAGAGGCAACAGACATTAAAAACTGCAGAGAACTGGAAGAATGAAACATCTGTGCTTCCTGTCCCCCTCCCCACAAATACGTAACTTCTAAAAGCTACCCCAGGTAACAAACCATCACAATTTTGCCGCAAATAGATAATGTTCAGGCTAATTGTTAAGGGCAAGACCAAACCTCCTTGCCCCTAATTTGTAGTAAGGGGGATGTTATAATGCAAATGTCCCTGGCAAGGCAGTTGTGACCATTACTGAGGTAAATATGTGAGGAACTTTAAACATCTGAAAAGTGCCAAGGATTTGCACTAAAGGGAAGAGTCCTTGCTATGGATATCAGCCTTGCAACCAGATCTTGTTTGGAAACAAAGCTCCCTTAAGATGTAAGGGAGAGAAAACTGGCTATTTCTCTCTATAAAGGTCTGGAGATCTATTAGCAAGAGCTGAACCTCCCCAGCCTTCCTCCAATCCAGTAAAAATCCTGCTTCTGTAAATAGCATGGAGCTCCTACTTATTCACACAAAGTAAATATTAGCGGATAGGTGGGGGTGGCACTTCATATGAAGGCTTGTTAAGAATCACTTTGTCAGTGAATATTCATTTAATAAGACAAAAGTACTTTAAGTTCAAATGTAAACTCAGCCCAGTGCATTGTTACGTCGTTTAGATGAGGGCAGTTTCTCATGCCAAGTTTTGAACCCATGTAAGGATACCCAAATCCAAAAGCACACCATTTCTGAAAGGTGCATCTGGGTGTTAATTCGCCACGTACCCCTTTAAAATAAGCAGAAACACTCCTGCTTTGGTCAACTCCTGGTGTGTATTTCAGAAAGGGAAGTACACAGGTAGGCACCTTTCAAAACCAAAATAGCATGCAAGTGTCTGGGTCTCATATCTGCACCCTCGTTCCCACGGATTCTCAGGCCAGACAGACAAATAATGGGCTGCCCGGGGCACTGCAGATACATTTCTTCCCTTCTTCCTTCCCAACAAATGTGCTCCTTTCAAAGCAATCTAGAAACCTAGTAAACTGACTCCTTTGACACCAGCTGTACATTAGGCAAATGTAACTGATGTAGTCTTCAAGCAGGAAGACTTTATGTGTGTGCACATGGTAAAAAGAATAACGCAAGTTACACTAGGGAGTGATTGTCCCAGCAAGTTTTTTCCAGGGGTGAAGCTGTGAATGAGAGCCAACAGGAAATGCAAGGCCCTGTTCAAGGGATCTCCCCTGGAAAAGGTACCATGAGCAACTTTAGTGTTAATTTTAACATAGGGTTAGGGAACCTCCAGTCTGTGGGCCAATCCTGGCCTGCAGGGTCAGCTTCCTAAGGAAGGGGTTTGTGCGGAAAGCCCTGCTAAAAGGAGGAAAAACCCTTGTGTTTTAGCAGTGCTTTATTAGGTGCTTTGAAGTCGCAACTTTGGGCCTTCAAAACACCTGACACCCAACGTCATTGTGAGGTCAGTTGATTGACAAGTTGGCAACCCTGGCCACCTGTCAAATTTGCCCCTTGAGTCCAATCCTGATGAGGACCTGGGCCTGTTAAACAAAGAAGATTCCCTCCTCCTTAACTTTATTAATAAGAGGCACACCCTCAATTAGGTCCTATCAAACTGTTATCCAGAGAGCACCAACGGTTAACCTAGAACCATCCCAAAGTCTCAGTGTGCTGCTGCACAGTTCGGAAAGCTGTTGAAATGCTTGTTCAGATAACACCGATTTCTCTCTTTTGAAGTTCTTGATTTATGGGCGTAGGAGCTAAGAGAGACTCCCTCGTCAGATCACAGAATTCGGAATAGTATTACGAGCTGGGGTGGGGCAGAGAAATCGACCGAGAATTAAATGAGATTCCAGAAGCAACAACTTGCAGTAGAGTTGGGGAGTGGGAAATGGAAAGGAGAATGGGTGACAGAAACAAAAAAAAAAGAAACACAAACCTTCCAGCTAGGGATCTTAGATGATGGTAGCATGCCTGGCCCAATGGTGTAATAATGAGCGCAGTCTGGAAGGAGGGTGGTGGAAGAGGAAGCCCGGGTCCATGCGTGGGAGACAGGCGGGAAATGAGGGGAAGGGCCTGCACCAACGGAAGCTAAGGATGGGCCACTGGACAAACTACAGTGATAATACCCATTAGACAACTGGAAACAAAACAAAACAAAAAGGGAAAAAAGAGGAGAGAAATTAATATAAATAGGACAAAATATGGGGGGTGGGATACAAGGTGAATCAGGCATGCATTGCTGGGAGAGAAGGGGAGGTGGGGAAATACCCCACGGAGATTTGAGAACTGTTCGCAACTCAACACCCCATACAGTGCTGGATCATGCTTTGTTAATGCTACTCAAATATGCATCGCCGTTCAAAAACCAAAACATCATTTTCAGGGGCTGAACAGCTTTAGGGTGCCCTGTTAGAGAGGCAGCCTTTTTTGTGGGGGGGACGGGAAGTTAACTTCCCAGCGTTGGCCAGTGTTATGCATGCCGGATAAACACAATGTGGAGTTTGGATGCTCTCGTTCCTTGAGGGACAATCGCGAGTTTCGTTCAGATTCTGAAAGCAATGGGGTGCGATCTTTCCAAAGCTGTTAATACGCCTCCTGGGTTAGTATTTTCACAGCGCGTTCAAGTGAGAAGCAGCAGCAGCAGCAGCAGCAGCTCAGCCTCAGAAAATGACATATTCTAGGAACAACATAATGAAAGGGGATGGAAGGAATCGGGGGGCGTTTCCAGATGAGAATGGACCCCAATTTAAAATCACTCGCTCCGGTGGAGATCGGAAATTATCCCCAAATTATTATTTTACTTGAAAATGCCAGTAAGATTTATGCATGCCAGGGGGCATCTGATTTTAAAAAGAGAATCTGAGATTGTGCATGATTGGAGGTGATGAGTAGACCACATGAAGATTTTGGCTTCGCATTATTAGAAAAGCTCCCTAGAGCTCCATTACACTGACCAAAGTGGTTCTGTCGTGGGCTAACGGTTATAAACACAGCCACGACGTGCCACAGACTGCACCGCAAAATGCCTGGCAAATGGTTCTGTGAATGCTCCAACTTGCGTTACCATCACTGCTGAACAATCTCCACTTCCAGAACGTGGCAGGCATGGATTCACAAAACCAGTTACTGCACCCAAAGAGGTGGCAACTGTGTGTTAAAAGCAACTGTGCGGCTGGAAGCATGAGGCAGGTTTTCCTGCTGCATTCAACTCATTCATTTGGATCATGTGTGGGGAACTTTCAGCCCTCTAGATGTTGCGAAGCTACAACTCCCCATCACCCACAAGCATGGCCAATGACTAAGGGTGATGAACGATGTAGTTCAGCGCTACAGCTGGAGGTCCAAAGAGTTCCCGGTAGCCAATTTTGATCCTTTACGCTGTGGTGGCGTCCAAACATTTTAGGGCCTTCAAAGCACCTGACACCCAACGTCAGATTTGATGAAGTGAAGGGCTGTGAGGACCAACCAAGGACCAACCACAGTTGTGTTGACCTTTTTTTAGGATTGAAGTTGTTGAGGTTTTTTAGGATTTAGGCCCCCGAAATGGACTTTGGACATGGCTGCTACGGGTTTCCATTCTCATCCTCCCATTTGCACTCGGGAGAACTATTTCGGGCCTGTGTGTCTCAGAGCCCGGGGAGGATCAAAGAACATGTCTTAGAGACGAAGCCTTTTTCACCTTCTCTGTGGAGGCCCAAGCCCCCATGGTAGAGCCTGAGCTGACTGACGTGGGGGAGCTGCACTCGCTGACTGACTGGCAGGTTTCAGAGGCTTCCGAGGAGGCAGAGCTGGACGAATTCTGCTGGGTTAAAAAAATAGCGGCAACCATGACACGGCAAGGAATAGCAAAGGAGAGGAAAGACAAGCCAACGGGAGAACAAAAACCCAACAAAGCACAAAGGAACGAATACATTCACGGGAGGAGGAGGAGAGAAGCAGAGTGTTAGGAGATCAGAGCAAAAATTCGATCGTTATGAACGTAGCCGAAAGCCTTCAACGCTGCAAGAGGGACAAAAGCAACAGGGTCCTAAATGGCAGAGCCTTTGCTGCGTCTAAAAGGAAGCCACGTGCCAACTCCCCGCTGAGATTTCAGTTTCAATTGAAAGGGCTGAGGCAATGGCACCTTCAGAACCACCTCGGAGCAGATCGGCAGAGCGCTGAAGCCACAGCTGCAGCGCCACAACGCAAAGGCCCTCCGGCCGTGCCTTGCCTTTGGAGGCTGGTAGTTGGGAAAATCTAGGCAGGGGTACCTAGGGAAAAGCCTGTATCTGGAAACCCCACATGGATTTGTCAAGAACTGGGCCAGCAGCAGAAGACCAGCTGCTGTGCACAGAACTTTCTTGAGAAAGTAAATCCATATTTACCAGGCAGACATTTTCCGTGTGGTTTCCTTCATGGGAAGTTGTTCGAAGCTACCCCAATGTTTCCATACGGTCTTAAGTGAGGGGTGCTGGTGGTCAGAGAGTCCACCCACAGAGAGTCCTCGGTCCAGTATATCTGAAGGAGCATCTCCACCACCATCGTTCTGCCCAGACACTGAGGTCCAGTGCTGAGGGTCTTCTGGCGGTTCCCTCATTGCGAGAAGCAAAGCTAAAGGGAACCAGGCAGAGGGCCTTCTCGGTAGTGGCACCCGCCCTATGGAACTTCCTCCCATCAGATGTCAAAGAGATAAACAACTACCTGACATTTAGAAGACATCTGAAGGCAGCCCTGTTCAGGGAAGTTTTTAATGTGTGACATTTTAATGTATTTTTAATCTTTATTGGAAGCTGCCCAGAGTGGCTGGGGAAACCCAGCCAGAGGGGCGGGGTACAAATAATAAATTACTATTACTATTACTAGGGTTTCTGCCCTCAGTCTCCCTGTGCTCTCCGTATGTCTGTACTATCCTCCCCAAATTAGTGTTGAGACATCTGGAGAGTTGTGAGAATCTCAACATTGAAATAATAAATTGACGCTCTTCCTGTTGTGCCACAGATCACCTAAATCCAATCTTTTCCTGGGATTCTCTGCTCTTCAGCTCAAACCTACAAATCACACATTCCAGTGCTTTTAGTTTGGCCCGGATAGCGCTGTTGGCTATAGTGCGGTGCTGATAAAGTGAGGTCCGATCCTTTGGTCTGCATTGCAGGGGGCTGGAACTAGATGATTCTCAGGGTCCCTTCCAACTCTAGAATTCTATGAGGAGCAGAGTGGGAAACCTGTGGCCCTCCAGATGTTGTTGGACTACAGCTCCCATCATTCCTGGGCCACTGGCTGATGGGAACTGGGGCTCCACCTCATCTAGAGGGCCACAGGTTCCCCCTCCCCCAGCCCTGCTACAGAGTGACCCACATCAATGAGATAGCAGCGGGCTAAAAATGTATGCAACAGGAGCACAAGGCATGCAACCCCATGGAAGGTGTAGGCATGGAAGGCAAGCCTTCAGCAAAGAATCGAGACAACAACCCTATTAAGCATATGCAAATACAACAATCTGCTCTGCATATCCCAAGCACAGAATTTGAGGTTTCTTCAACCAGAACGAAGACTCTTTGCTTTGTACGGGTGCACAATATCTGCGCTTCTACAGGGGGACGTCGCCCCCACCTCCCATTACAGTGCTGAAAGGCCTCACTATTTCAGAAAAAGTACCGTATTTTTTGCTCTATAAGAGTCACTTTTCCCCTCCTAAAAAGTAAGGGGAAATGTGTGTGCATCTTACGGAGCGAATGCAGGCTGCACAGCTATCCCAGAAGCCAGAACAGCAAGAGGGACTTCTGCTTTCACTGCGCAGCGATCCCTCTTGCTGTTCTGGCTTCTGAGATTCAGAATTATTTTTTTTTCTTGTTTTCCTCCTCCAAAAACTAGGTGCGTCTTGTGGTCTGGTGCGTCTTATAGAGCGAAAAATACGGTAGGTTCTCAACACCTGCTCTTGGTTAAATCAAATTACAGTGGTACCTCGGGTTATGAACTTAATTGGTTCCGGAGGTCTGTTCTTAACCTGAAAACTGTTCTTAACCTGAGATATCACTTTAGCTAATGGGGCCCCTGGCCGCCATGCAATTTCTGTTCTCATCCTGGGGCAAAGTTCTTAACCCGAGGTACTACTTCCAGGTTAGCGGAGTTTGTAACCCAAAGTGTTTGTAACCCGAGGTGTTTGTAACCCAAGTTCCAAGGTACCACTCTACTTTGGAACGCAAGCTAGATTTTTGAAATGGACAGACCTAGATCAGTCACCCTTGTTTGTAGGTTGCACATGCAGTGAGGTGCAGGGCTGAAAGAAACTCTCATATAAACCAGGGCCAACACAAAGCAGGCCCTGTTTCTCCCACCCATACGTAACAAAATAAGGGTGGGCGGATTGCAAAAGCAAGTCCTACTCATGGAGGTGATTATAAGGGATGCAATTCATACTACAGGCTTGTACATGAGGGCTTAAACCCACTGCCTGCAAAACTTTTACACTCCAAGGCACAGGCCTTATTGACCTTTTTATAAGATATACAGGCAAGACTTTTTCTGACTCTCCCTGTGGAAAAAACCCTCCTCTGTCTTTCTTGCTAGTTTAAGCCTCCCAACTGACTATGATATGGGGTAATTTGGATATGCACCAGGCCAAATTGCCTCCTTTCACCCTATATCCTACAATTCCATGGCGCGAGAAGTTGCAACAACTGCCCATTGCGTTCTTTTGTCCCTCAGCAACAGAGAACGGAACTCACACAAAACGGGCCGCTAAAAACACATAAAAAGCATCAACAGAGAAAGCAGAACGCCACTTTCATCTATGGCTTTATCGCAAGAATCAACATTCTGCTTTCAAACGATGACACGCGGCAGCGCGAGGTTATTTTCTCTGTCTTGCGAATAAAAACTCCAAGATGAAAGCCCGTCAGTTGGTTAAAACACACAACACATTAAACGGTTTTCTGGGTTCTGCCTGCATGAGTAGCAGGACATTCAAGCAAGTCTGAAATATCCAGGGCATAAAAATGATCCCTTTTATCCTCACGCTGAAATGATGCTATGGACATCTCCCTCTCTCTCTTTAGATCAGCAGTGGGGGGTTCCTCTATTCATTAGCACATTAAGAACGCCAATTTCTCCCCACTGAGCAACAGTTTCTTTATATTCCGAAATCAACATGGAGCTAAGGTCACACGGAGAGGTCCAACTTGTGACCAGCTCCAAAACACATCATGGTTCCAATAATTTAGTGACTCAAAAACCTGGATTGCTTACAACTGTGGTGGACCAAAACCCAATTGTGTGCTGGATCTCTTCATAAAAGCTAATGCCATGCAGAACCCACCTTGCAAAAGAAACAATGCATGATGGTCTGGGCCATTTCACACATTACGCAAAGTCCATGCCAGTTACGCTGCTGGCAACAGACTCAGCTTTGGCTAATCACTGATTAGTGTACCTGTGCGATACAGGTGTCGCTGTGCAATACAGATGTTTGCAAACATACCTGATTTGTTGTTCACATTCATTTTAGATCTTGGCTTAAGGTGTACACTAAACACTTCAGCATGTGAAGTGCTCTTTAATGTGGGCCGAACGTGGACCTGTGAGCCCTGTAACTAAAGAACTCCTAGTTGGAATAGTTCCAAGTCTTTTCCAAGGGGTGTGTGGCATAGTGCTCCCTGAAGCATTTTGGTTCACTGGGCACGCAGGGAAAACTGCATGTCTGAATGCAACACTTTTGTTAAATATCCCAGCATCACACGCAAAGGCAGCTGTTCAGAGAGAAGGCTTCCAGCCTAGCCTTTTCCCGTCCCTGCTAACTTTGCACCAAGAGATTTTACGACAAGCCCTAGGCGTGGTCATGGTCTCAAAACAAGGTATCTACAGCAATGCCACATTCTACTTCCTGAACATATGAGATCTGCTCTCAGAAGTGCTCTCATATCCTGTAAATACGGAATTATTACCCAGGGGTTTTTTTGTGTGTGTTTTGTTTTTTTACTAATTTCACTTCAACTTAAGTTGCTGTACACCTCTTTTATAGAGCTTGAAACTTATTGGAAGGAAAGGAAACATTTCTGGGGCAAGCTTTGGGGCATCAAATAGCTTGGGATGGGGTGGTACAAAATAGGGGAATAATTATGGCTGAGCCACCAGGATGGTACAAAATAGGGGAATAATTATGGCTGAGCCACCAGGAGGCAGCTGTCAGATCACTGAACATTGACTGCAAGAATTCGCATAGCAAATGGGAGGAAGGTTCTAAACTTGAGTTGCAGGATGGCAGAATCCATGGGATACTGATTAAAATTTGCATCACTGGAAGCAGTTGTTTATAGTTTCTCTTGTTATCGTCAACCACAGGTAAAATTAACACGGCACCACCACCCTGTTTGCAGCCCCCAGATATCTGGAGAGCATCAGGTGGGAAGGAGACTGGCGAGAGGGAGTGCTAGGGAGAACATACCCTGACAGCTCACATGTGCAATTCTCTTGTAATCAACTCGATGTGAAAGACAAGATGGGAAGATGCAAACATCTTTCCTGTAATCTGTGAAAGGGCCCCGCATTTTAGCCTTTGGCTGCAGCGGCAGGAGGCAATTGCTGGGTTTACCTCTTGGCAACTGCAAGCCAGGCTTAAGACACAATTTCCGATGGGTGAGAATCAGAAAGTAGCAGTAGTCTGCCCAATAAAGCAGGGGTGGGGAATCTCAGGTCTGGGGGCCAAATGTGACCTCCCAGGACTCTCTATCCAGCACATTAGACTCTATCCAGGTCACACTCCTTGCCATCCCCTTCACTGGTCCTATTTCACACCCTCCTTGTGTGTTTTGTGCCTGGCTAGAAGGTACCCTTGACCTCTTGCATTGTTGTTTAGTCATGTCTGACTAGCAAACGATGGAAAAAATTACCGTATTTTTTGCTCTATAAGACTTTCCCTCCTAAAAAGGGGAAATGTGTGCGCGTCTTATGGAGCAAATGCAGACTGCGCAGCTATCCCAGAAGACAGAACAGCAAGAGGGATTGCTGCTTTCACTGCACAGCGATCCCTCTTGCTGTTCTGGCTTCTGGGATTCAGAATTTTTTCCCCTTGTTTTTCTCCTCCAAAAACTAGGTGCATCTTATAGAGCGAAAAATACGGTACATCCAATACTCAACCCACTTTGGCCTCTGGCCCCACCCACCACTGACACATGGCCCCCATTAAGTCCCTCAGAAGGCAAAGCGGCCCTTGGGCTGGAAAATATTCCCCACTCCTGCAGTAGAGTAATGCAGCAGGCAGACAACCAAATAACCCGAAGCAGAAGCCATGAAAAGCACAATGAGCACAGAAGCCCTTGGAGATCTTGGGGGAGAAACGGAAGGTGCTACATGCGGGGGCAGCCGCTGCTCCCTAGGCCTACCTGGTTGAGGGCCTCTGGCGGCATGGGGGATGGCGACTTGGACTGGAAAGCGTCCTGGGACATGAAGCCGGAGTCGTGCGAGGACACGCTGGACAGCCTCATCGGCGCTTGCTGGGGCAGGTTGGAGCTGCGGTAGCGATAGTGTGAACTGGGTGAGTGAGAGTGTGAGCCGCTTGACCGTGAGTCACTACTGTTTACACTGTTCAGACTGCTGTGAGATACAAAAGGAAGAGAGACGAGGGCAGAGGGGGAGGGGGGAAGAGAAACAAAAAAGGGGGGAGGGGGAAGAGACCGCACAGGACAATTAACATTCCATGGTTCTCCAGCAGGGCATGCAGCACAAAGAATAAAAAAATAAATAAATGGCACAACTAGCAGAAGGAAACTGGTAAGAGTCGCAAGGAACTGCAGTATCCTTAGGAATCGGATGGAAAATGGCAAATCGACAGCATCGAGTGGTACTAGAATGCGGCAATGAACGAGTCAGGGGCTATTTCTGCAAAGGAAGAAGTTCCTCTAGCAGACCAGGCAGGAAAGCGGGAGGGAGCTGGTTCCCCACCCCAGGCTACCAGCATGGAACGAAACGGCTGACAACTGGAGAGGAAGCTGGGATAGCTTGGGTTGAATCGAACGTTTGCTGCATGAGTGGAAGGACTTCTGCTCATGCAACAGAACTTCCCTTTCTCCTCTCACTCCACCCCAATCTGCTGCGAGGGCTAGGGGCAACCTCAGAGCCGATCTGAAGGGGTGGGAGCACAGAAGGAGGAAGAGGAAGTTCCACTGTGTGACTGGAAGGTCTGCAAGAGCACTGACTCCGCTGGACACAATTCCTTTGTAGGCTAGGGGACTTTTACGGGTATATTTGAAATGCTGCATTGGATATTGATTAGGGCTGGCTCAAGGCGCCCGAGGTGAGAAATCCCACCAGCACCCGAACAAAAAGCTAACCAGCATGTGGAACGTTCTACTGAGAGATTCCCTATGCAAGTTCCACTCACGTGAATGGGAGTGGTAGCAAAACCACTACTCCACTCGGGTACAGATCCTGGTACTCAATGGGACTGGAACAGGAGAGACTTCTGGCAGACTATGCACCGTGGACTGGACCTGCCTTGCCTCTCAATTCTGCTGGTGCAAGCAGTGGCCTCACTCTGCTCCTGAGGTTGCCATGTCACTTCCTCTCATAGCACACCCTATCGTCAGAAAAGGCAGCCTCCCTTAGGGTTAAAAGTCTGCAGCAGAATTTTAAAATTTTAAGGCAGAGGGGTTTCGCTGCTAACCCCTCTCCTTTAAGCGTCTGCTGTTTACATAATACTATCAACTGTTGGGCTCAACCAGATGAAGACAGCAGGAGATCTTTCATGGGGGTCTCCTGAGGATTCCCTTTAAGTAATAAATAGAGCTGGCAATGTGCTTTGCGGGAGGCAAGAGGCTACACGGTCCCATCGCCTGTGGAGATGATGGTCATGCGAATCTCCCACCATCTTGCCTAGTTCACCTGCTGGGATTGTACGGCCAGCCATTTTCCTTGTTAAGGATATTGCATTTTGAAAAGCCTGTGCTTACCGCTGTCAATAGAAATATCTATAGATCTCCTGTCTATAGATACTGTACGTACGCATGCACAGACAGCTATTTACGCAGGGAAATGCAAGGGGCATCTTGGTCTACCATGCCGTAGGGTGCTGCAGCTCTCCAATCCATGTGATTCGGAAGGCAAATTTGTTAAAAATAATGACAATAATAATAATAATAGCATTTAAGGCTAAAAAGAAATGCAAGAGCAAGGAACATACAGCAGAACGTCTTCCTTTTGGTGGAGAAAAGGAGAGAATTAGACACCGGTGTGCCTGGAAAGGAGTGAGGGAGGAAGAGGAGATGCATGCTGCCAAACTGTTTTAGCAGAGAGAAAACAGTTTTCATGGAAGAGGTCAAAGGGGGATCTAGATGCTCAAAACACGCAAAAATAAAAAAATTAACTTTTTTTTCTGAACTGCATTTCATCAGTACTGAACAGTAAAGTACTACCGAATAATTTTCAGTAAAGAATTTTACTCAAAGAAGTTGGAAGAGAAACGGGAGGCATCCAAGCAGTTTATGCCACTGAGAAATTAAGCCTGCTGTACCATTAAACAATCATATAAACATTTACATTGTATGTGGGTTCATGAGACAGTGGCAAAGAATACCAGACCCCGAATCGACAACTGGATGGTCAGTGGCCGGTTTTCCTTAAAAGTTTTTTTCAAGAGCCTATTTGTATGGCTGTCATAACAACGCTCAACAATTCTATTTCACTCTATCAATAGCATCTCAAGAAGGAGAGGACCACAAAACAGTAGACAAATTATTATTTTACAAAATTCAGACGTACCCCCAGATTCAACCATCTTAAAACACCATTATTTTGATGTGAGTCAAGACTAAAAAGCTCACTGCCCTCGAATGGGTTAGGGAGAACATTTTGTCGCAGCATGGAGAAGATTGTGATTTCTAGACAAGGGTCTGAGAGGTTCTTCTTTTGTCCTGCTGCTTTTGACTGCTTGCCACTGAATTGGAACAAACATCAATCTGCAGAAAACCTAATTAACATTTGCTCCGATTCAGCAGTAAACCACAGGTTTTCCTGGGGAAAGCGGCAGGACAAAAGAAAAACATGTTTAGAAATCACGGGACAAACGGCCCGTGTAGCTGAGCCCTCAAAAGGTGATGGACCTCATCAGTGCCTGGATGAACACTGAGTGGTCCTTCCTAGGTGCTTCAAACGTCCTAGAGGAAAGAGCAGGATCCAAGCATATAAATAAATAAATCTTACAGAAGAGTGTTTATTAGAGTAAAACATTGGGTTCCCATAGAAACAGATCATGTGCCTTTTCTGCTTACCTGCACACACTGGATTTTCTTGACATGGTGGTACTGGGAGATGATGGAGGAGTCTGATAGGACCAGCCATAATCAGAGCCTTTCAAATCTAGAATTACCTGGAGAATCAGGAGATAGCCATGCACGGTTATTTACACCAGTGAATTGGTCATTGGTGGCTTGAAACTAGCTAGCTGCTGTCAGGTCAACCAATCCTATCAGGGCATCAAGTTAAGCATATCCTACTAACACCCCAGCACACTTATTTCTAATATTATGGACTTGTTATTATCATGGTCCTTCAGTCTTTCTCTTTCTTGAAACACAGGGTTTCTTAGAGCCCTCCAGACCAGCAAAACCCTTACAAAACACAACCAGTTTTATTGAAGATTCTGCCAACCATATTCCAGTGCTGCTTGCTGAAATCTAGTGAAGCTACACTGTCACTTCCTCAACCCTGTGCCCACCAGATTTTGTTGGGACTACAACTCCCAACATCCCTCGCCTGTACGACCAACAGTCATGGATGATGGGAGTTGTAGTCCAACAACATCTAGAGGGCACCAGGCTGGGAAAATATTGACATAGGTGAAGGTCAAGGGCAGTCTACTGGAAAGTTCTCCTCCTGAAACCCCCACAACCGGCCACCCCAAGAGGAGCTAGGCAAGGATGTTACCATGTTCTTGGGCAGCTGCCAATCATATCAATAGCGCTTGCATGGGGAAGTATTTTCATTGGGTATTTACCTTTTGCACATATATGGAATTCTACCATTTGTGGGTTGAGTAGACACAGTAAACCAAACAGATTAGCCTTTCCTAAGTCAAACTAACCTGCTCACTTGATGGCGGCAGCTTGTGAGGGTCCATAGTGAGGCTTTTCAGATCTTCTGAGATGGTCTGCAGGTGAGTTATTTCTCCCAGCATTGAGATTTCTTCTTCCTGGCAGATTAAAAAAACACAGAAACGAAGCAGAAAATCAGAACTGCCAGTGTTACTGAGTTCTATTACGTATGCAATTTCGGTCAACATCAACAAACTAGCTGCTTCATCTTACTAAGTCAAGGCATAAGCACCACTCACTTCTTTAAACAGACACAATTTGTAAAGGTTAAAAAAAAAAGGATTAGATACTTATGACTGAAGCTACAGAAAAGGTCAGGCTTGCAAGCAAGATGTCAACATTCCTTCATTCTTAAATCATTAAAGAAAAAAGCCTTCTTAGTTCTTGCCACATCGCTTTCTTTTTTTATATAATAATTTTTATTAAATTTTCTGTTTTACATTAAAAATACTCATTTAAACACCCTTAAAATATCAATGACTTCCATTCTTCTCTTTCTGTGGTTCATTTTGCCTATCATAAATCCCTGCATATTTTACAAGAACTAGAATACATTCAGTATTCCATTATTGCACCCATCAAAACTTATTTACACTGTTGAATTGATCTTAATGCTGCCAACATTTTCAAGTGTACACAGTTCCCTCCCCCCGTATATTCAATAAACGTTTTCCAATCTTCTCTAAACATATGTTCTTCTTGTTCTCTTATTCTATATGTTAAGTCTGTCAGCTTAAGTTGCCATTCTTCTTTAGTTGGGACCTTGCTCGTTTTCCATTTTGGGGCTAACAAAACACGGGCCGCAGTAGTGGCATACATAAATAACCTTTTCTCACACCTGGGAATTTCAGACTCAAAACATGCTTTGTGGAAGCAATGGGGAAAAGGCTCAAAACGAAACTCACAATCACAGGCCGCAGCATGGAGATGAATGAGCAGAATCTGCCGCGTTCCTCAATCAGGGCCTTCCTAACGGCCTGTTTCTCTGTTTCTTCAAGAAGTAGGTATTTATCGTTCACGTCCTGTAAGGCGCTGTCTAGCTGAGGCTGGATGTCTCCTCTACCTAATTCACAACGGAGAAAAAGCAAAGGTGGTTATAGGCTGAAGCTACTCCCAAGGAAGCCCACAAACATTTGTACGGCTTTGGCTATATCTGGGCTCACGTCAAGCGTGTTCACACGGCTAGTCACTACATGCCGTCAACTCCCTTGTCGATCCATCTCAATGGGAGTGAATCTGCCTTGAATAAGCTGAATTTGCGGCTTAAATCAAGGAGCCTAGCACACCTCCTTTGGGACAAAGGGGAGGCAATATTAATTTAACAAAGAAAATACAGTTCTTATATTTTACAGTATTAAGAACAGGCTACACACATAAGGAGAAAAGGTTAAGCGTTCACAGAGCGGTCAAATGTTGTATTTCATCAAATACATAACAGAAGATGGAACAATTCAAGCTACATTGACACAGACTGGTGGTCTGCCCCACTTTTTTTCAGGATACCCTGGGAATCGTTAGCAGCTTATTTGGGGTTCCTTTAACAAGAAGATCAGTAATGGTAGACAAACCTAGCTTGCGCCATAACAGATTTATAGAATTATGCATGGAGAAAGTGGTTGGAGGAAGCTTTTTCTCCCTCTGATACAAGTCTAGAACCTGGAGCCGTCCAATGAAACAACAGTGGGAGATTCAGGAAAGACTAAAAGAAGCATTTTTTCCGCATAGTGCACTGCCAGTTTATGGAATTCACTTACAGAAGGGCGTAGCAAAGGCCACCAACAAAGATGGCTTCCAACTGACCTCTATGAATTTGCCTATCAGTGGGCCAGTATGCTACTCTCAGGAACAGAGGCAGCCTGTGTTTGTACCACTTGCTGGGGCAACACAAATGGGACACTGTTGTTGAGCGCATGTCCTGCTTATGGGCCTCCCAAGGCTACTGTGGTGGAGAGGACACGAGATTAGGTGAGCCTTTGGTCTGACCCAGCAAGGGTCTTCTGATGACGGCGGCTTGCCTACCGATTACCAATCTCCTCGTATAATATGCATTACCTAGGGCACTATTCGTTTATACAGAGTAACAATGAGCCCCGCAAGGCCTGCCCAATGCGCTGCATGGGATGCAGAAAGCTGCCTCACACCAGCTCACTGTATTTGCAGTATTGTCTGTTTTGACCGGCAGCGACTCATTTGACAGACGTCTTTCTCTGCGCCTGCTCTCTCATCTGTTCAACTGGAGACGCCAAGGTTATATATACGGCCATGCAGCTTAGAACATGCCCTGAAGGAGTTTAGGGGACAGGTGTTCTCTTGGCCAGCAAACTGAAAATGGTTCCGTAAAAAGGTAGGAAGGCGGGTTTAGAGGACAGATCGACGGTTGTGCAACACCAACTCCCTTGTCCCAGGACTCCCAGGATTCGCCAGTTCGGTAAGAACCTGGCTGGGTCCCACCAAAGTTTAGTGAAGGATGTCAGGTCCAGGAGAAGCAGAAGAGGTTAGTTACCCACCCCAGTTTAAAGCCAATCCAGTTTCATAAGCAAAAGTTAAAGGGGGTAACAGGAGTTGGTGTGTGTATATACAAACTTTTCACGTAAAGGTATCAGGGAGGAAATCAGTTTCACAAGGGAAATAGGGAACTTGCTTCAATTCAAGCCACTGGGTTACAAACAAACAAGGATATTGGCGTTCAAATGTATGCACAGCTCTCATCTCCTGCCAAACTCACCACCATATTGTGCATCCCACCCACCCCACCAATCTTAAGTGTATTAAAAAAATTCCCCAGAAAAATATTGAACCGTTAAGGTACAGCTTGGTATCCAAGTTGATGTGCTTCAATGGCAAAAGTGACCACAAAAAGGCACCCATAAAACTGAAGCTGGCATGAGACATCAGCTGACAGAAGCAGTACATTTATTTGCCTTCAGGGTTTGGGGGCTTCGTCGGAACATCAAAGTATATGTGTTGCAAAGAAAACCAACAGCCTGGGAGCTAGCTCAGAAAGCTTACTAAGGTGAGACACTAGTTTATACTGCCCCCCACCAAAAGCCCACCTTGACTTAAAAGTGGTTGCTCACAGCCAGCCAATTCTACACACAAAAAGCTTATTCTGTAGCAAATAACATGTGCGTAGAAAATGCTACTGCAAAGAACGGAAGTGTTAGCAGGTACAGCAAAAATTCAGTTACAGACTAGTAGTCTTCGTGAGACCAAGACTCACAGGACACAAATCACCTCAACAGCTGGTGCTGCTAAGAAGATTTTGCTGGCCCCCAACTCCCATAAGGCCAAGACAGAATGGCCAATGGTCAAGGTTGACGGGCGTTGCAGTCCAACAAAATTTGAGGGCATTAGTTGGGAAAAGATGCAATGTGGGGCCAACCCTGCCCTCTTGGCTCTCAGCCGGCGCCAGATCCATTAAGGTCGGATATGGCAATCATGGTCTTCAACCTTGCAATTCCATGTGTTATGCAAGAGTGCTGCCCAGATTCCTCTAGGTTCGCCGCCAACCATGCCTCCATCTCCTCTTCAATAATGACCATTTACATGGCTTCATCCCAACAGGAGGCAGGCAGAGTTTATGCTGCGAATATCCCCTCACCGTGAACACATTTTTAACCTCCGCCCCACTGAAGGCTACTAGCAGAATCAGAGCTGTGCGTCACAAGGACATAGCGCCTGTTATTTTAACTGCAGGAAGAAATTAAAGAGCTCAGACTGCAGTGTGTTGCCTGTTAAGTGTCTGGCTACTCAAGTGCAACTGTGCATGGCAGAAGCTTTTGTGTTCGTAATTCAGGCACTAAATCGGAATTAAGCGCCTTGGACAGACTTCTGTAAGTGCTGAGAGGTGCCATATGAGTGCAGCTAGGAGCTCACTGAAGCAGAAAGCTAAAACCTATGGTCTACCTCAGCCCTCTGCTATAAAGGAGGCATGCTGGGAAGATACCAGCCTCAATATCATCCCAGTAGCTACATATCTCAAACCTTGCTCTGCAACGCCCCTTGGTAGCACAAGTCTTAGACCAGGGGTCAGCAAGGGTTACCTCGCTTGGGCCGGTTCACTCCAGCGGAGATCCCTCTGTGGGCTGGATCGCGTACGAGCCTGCGATTTCCGGCATCTGCACAGACACGATTTCTGGCGTTGGCATCTCCGCAGACGCAACTTCCAGCGCCGCAGAAGCGAGTCCCCGGGCGGCTCAGTTCGGAGGCAGCTCCCCGTGGGCCACTTGTGGCCCATGGGCCTTAGGTTGCCAACCCCTGTCTTAGACTTTCTCTTTACTCTCCTGCCACAGTATGAAGACCATGAAAATAACAGGAGTCATCTTTTTCTCAATGAGCATTCATATATTTGAATCTCGATCGGAGAAGAATTCACCCATAAATTATTAGTAGTATACAGTGGTACCTCGGGGTACATACGCTTCAGGTTACATACGCTTCAGGTTACAGACTCCGCTAACCCAGAAATATTACCTCGGGTTAAGAACTTTGCTTCAGGATGAGAACAGAAATCATGCCTTGGTGGCATGGTGGCAGCAGGAGGCCCCATTAGCTAAAGTGGTGCTTCACGTTAAGAACAGTTTCAGGTTAAGAATGGACCTCCGGAACAAATTAAGTACTTAACCCGAGGTACCACTGTAATTGCACACTATCTACATTTTACAACACAGGTAATGTCGCATGTGTGCGTTCTCTTCGCATTTTGTTTACCTCATCTGGAAATAGACGTTGACTGGAATCTTGTTTTATTTAGTTTCCTTAGCTCAGTGATTAGGCCCTTTGGGGGGAGGAAATGTGATGTAGACCGGAACAACATTTGAATGTTGAGCAACTCTGATTTATGTGTGGATTCTTCCTTCTATTCAAATATATGAATGTTCATTCATAAAAAGATGACTCCTGTTATTTTCGTGGTTGTTTAGATTTATAAGCGTCTAACGGTTGCCCTGGTGACGCTATCTTTTGTCACATTGCATTTCGCTATGCTATCACCACCTTCCCTGTTGTGGTGTTACGGTATAAAGACGAGAACAGAAACAGCCTCTCTCTCAAACACATTCACACTGAGTTTCACAGAAAGGTTGCTTCATCAGTGCGCACACACAGCACTGCATGAATCTCCTTCCATTTTTAAAAAACCAACCACAACCACCAGCCTGTTCGCCCTCCTCAAACTCACATATTCCTTGAAAGCTTGGATGTAACCCCTTAATCCTCACGGCCAATTGGCAACCTATATCCAAGCCTAAGAAGATATAGAGGCACTTGCTCCCCCTTCATCCTTTGCTTACGTTTATCTCTCCTTCACACACCCCCCCATTGTCTTTCCCACTATTAAAATTTAGACAGGTAATCCTCCTTGATGTTTGCTGTACTCCATCATCTATCAACCCCAACCAGCATGGACCAATGGCCAGGGACTATGGGATTTCCCTGCTGCAAACGTACTGAAGATCACAACATTCGAGGATAAAACAAAAGTCATTTTCTACTCCCAACAGCCTGACTTGTCAGTTATCTCTAACTGAAAACCTCATTTCGGAACCACGTATTTCTACCCATTCTCAACACACCAAACTCATATATTTGTTATCAATCAGGGCATAACATGCAAATGATTTTTTTTTAAAGGGTATGTTTTAGGGTCAAGGGGTTACAAACATGGGAATTTAGGCTCTAGACTTTAAAAAGATGTTTTGAATAGGCACATATATTTGAAATCATCCTGTTGAGAGATCGCGTGCAAGTTTTCGAAAATGGAATAAATTTGATGGTGTCGCCGTTCTAACCGCAGGTCTCTTGCACACCTAAGCCCAGAACGCTTGGATAAGTCTACTCAGTTCCACCCGCCTCAAAGGAGTCAAGGATGGTGGCCAAGGAGCTCCTAAATTGTGGAACTCCCTCTGCAGAGAGGTGTGTCTTTCACCTTAAGTTGTACAGCTTTCACCTTATGGTGAAGACGTACCTCAGCCGCTGAAAATGAATTTATTTGGCTTCCCACCTCTTTGGCCGAATTTTTATCTTTCTGCTCCTTCTGTAATGGTTTCATCTGTTTTTATTTCT